TTATTTGTTTCCTTCTATGAAAGCATGTTTAGTCACAAATCGTGGATTTTCTGATATTCTCCATACTGTAAAAATGATTTTCCTACCACTGAAGGGGCGACATCTCTCGGATCTTCAGTATAGCTACTACTTAAATCATATAATTAATTAATTGCTATTAACTGCCAAGAACCCGGAAAAAATCTATACATATTGCAATGAAACATACCGGTTCTATCTTAAATTGTATAATTGGTATAACATTCCTGCAATCATGCACAAAGTTCTCGCTCATGCTGTTGAAATAATTATACATTCACCAGCACGGAGGCGAACCAGCCTCAGGCTGAAAGCCTCCCTGATAAAGAAAACTTAACTTAACTTACTTTCACCATTAGCGGAAGAGGCAGCAGAGAGTTAACATAAACAATTATAAAAATATCGAACACATCATGCAACAAAACGATCAAGAGTAGATAATTTACATGATATCTTCACTAGTGCCATGAATGAATCGGACCGACTGATCTGTTACCGTTTGGGTACTTTGTCCTATGGAAAAAGCTCGAGCAGAGTGATAGCAGTGCTATAAAGAGCGAGCACTCAACCGAACGAGACAGAAATCCACTAATATACTGCTGTTCGGTGCGCTCATGGCTGAGTACCATGATAGTTTACACACCTAATTTTGAGTTCAAGTTTGAGCAAAATGAATTACTGAAGTGAATCCAGCAAAAGCAAGTATTGCTGTAAAACCAGTAATCGGTATTATTTTGCTGATTGTTCCAGCTAACAGAATTAAATGTCATAATCAAGATCGGTTCTATCGTTGGCAGCTGCGAGCTATGAGATAATTTTTCAGTCGGTTGAAAAATTAATAAGTGCGCACCATAAATTTATCACTAGACAATCAATAATGCTGCGGAAGTCATGAAGTAAGCGTAAAATTCAAACTTTAAGCTGTTTTGTACCAAGGCTCCTTTTTATTTTTACAGTCAGGCAAAATTTCATCGGTAACCCATCAAGAGTGCATACAGCTGCATCGATTTTCGGTTTAAATTCGCGCAACCGAAATCCAGCACATAATGTGATGTGATACACGAACATATTATCATATAATAAACTGAATTCTGATAAAAATGTGATTTCTGTAAAACAAAACAAACGAAAATTGCTCTTCTTCCAGCAAAACGATTGCCAATCGATTTTACTGGATAATCGGTACATTTTGCTGGTTTTTCAGTTAAGTGCTGTCAAATTAGCTCTGAATCAATTTGCTGGCCGTTCAGCAAAAACATTTTGCTGGAAGGATTGCTGGATTTCCAACTCGGCAAAATCCAGAAAAATTTTGCTGGTTTCCAGCGATTAAAAATGGGTGTTTAGGTGACCGTGTTTGTATTTGCTGATCAGTGTCTCCTATTTGTCAGGAGCCGACTAGAGCTCCGTCTCTTTAGCTCGAGCTAGTCGCCGCAAAAGAGGCTGATGGATAGCCCACCCCTTCTGGTCCCCGTGGCTTTAGACTAGGGACCTGGGGCATCGTAGTTTTAGAGAGAGAGCACACGCGGTGTGTAACAGATCAGTTCCATTTGCATGGCGAAAAGACGACAGGATAAAGTGTTTCTGGAATATCGCGACATCGTGAAAAGTTTCATGATATTTGAAAATAATCTGTTCAATTACTGATACTAATAACTTAATGCATTGGAGGAACTTATGAAAGCAGTCGATCAAATTGAAGAAAATTTTGTTGCTGATGATATTGTAACCGAGATTGTATCAGAAGAATAATATAAAACCCATTAAAAATATAATTTCATTGCAATTTTTATAGTATGTCTTATTTTGTCAGTCGATCAAATTGAAGAAGATTTTGTTGCTGATGATATTGTAACCGAGATTGTATCAGAAGAATAATATAAAACCCATTAAAAATATAATTTCATTGCAATTTTTATAGTATGTCTTATTTTTTTCTTATTTAGAGAAGATTTATTAAAATAAATAAATATATTTTCAGAAAAAATAGTAAATGCATGTGTTTACTTTTTTACGGTGCACCCTGTATAAACCAATTCAAGAGCAAATTTTCATTATGCCGTAAGTAACATTCGCACCGATCCGAGAAAAATAAAGTTTTGTTTTGATGACCGAAAAGTTATTCCTATTTCCAATTAAACACATATAATCTCATAGTGATAACAATGTTTAACATATTTAGCCGGGTTTTAATCATACAAAGGCAAATCGCTAGCTTTCATGCTAAGAAATACTGGTTTTTGAGTCAAAAGTTATTATACGTCGTTTGGTGGCCCCTATTGTTACTTAAGTCAAAGTGTATTTACCAGGATATTCGGGAGAATTATCAATTACGTCTTCTTACGTGCAGCCCATTTATCATTTTAGGACCACCGAAATCATCTTAGCAACAAACAGTTCGATTGATTCACTTTCATAATGAGAAAGCGAAACGACGAAAGTACACTTTTCACGGGTTTCTCAGTGCTGTTACTTAAGGCAAACGGCATCTCCATAGAAATCGGGTGACTTAAGTAACATCGAAAACTATTTTGATCGGAAGGTGATTACGTCAAAAAGCAATTCGACTAGTAAATTAATTTAAAAATGGGATGTGATCCTATATTCGGACAGTATATAGTGTAATAGCAGGAGCATCGATTGACACTGATAGCTCGACTTTGTTTACCTTTGTTACATTCGACGTAATGAAAATTTGCTCTTGAATTGTAAGTTGTCGTTCTTCTATAAATTTTATTCTCTAAAATTGAAAGCAATCACAAGTTAAGCCCTTCTCAAAAGTTAGTCATTAAATGTTGAAAAATGTTTATGAGCAATGTATAATGATAAAACCAAGCAAGAATAATTGCAAAAATTGCGAAAAAAAACAATGAAAATATTTTTGTCCGCCTGCTTGTATGGAAATCCCCCATACACGGTAACCGCAAAATACCCAATAATGACTATAAAAGCACAGACAAACAGACGTAACTCTTTGAAAAAGTTTTTCTTGAAAACATAGTATCTCAAAACATAGGTCCTCAGTAACGACATCTCTCTGGCTTCTCGCGGAAAACAAGCTTGCTCGCTAACTCGTAAACAATATTGCATAAAAGTTTTATAGAATGTATAGAAACGTCAAAGTGATCCGATGCCAGCGCTGCGGCGAGTACACAGAAAAAAAGTTGTTGAATATTACATCCAAACAGCTGCACATAGGTCATTCCGCCGGTTGTGTAATATTACGTTGTACGATGTACATCGATTTTGCGAACAAAATTACATCTATTGATGTAATATTGTATCTGCTTTTTGCTATTACATCATTATTTCATACATTAGCTTGAATTACGTTGATCGATATTACATTTTTTTTGCTGTGTAGTTCGCGGAACTGATAATATTCAAACCAACCGTTAAATACTTGAACGAAGATACACAATGAAGTGTGTCTGTTTGTCTGTGATAAAAGATTCGATATTGACTACATAGTAAGCATTTTCGAGGGAGACTGAGACTACCCATTAAATGAGTAAAATATTACCCATCTATGAGTATTTGTTACTCAAAAAATAATACTTACTACTTATTTTTGTAGTTGTAATTACTTATAAATGGGTAAAATTTAACTCATTTCATGGGTAGTCCCAGTTTCCCTCGAAAATGCTTACATTTTAGTCATTATTGGGTATTTTGCGGTTAGCGTCCAACCGGCATATGATCTCCGTAAAAACCTAAGAGGAAGAGGTGACAATTGGCTTCTTCTTCTTTTATTTCTATCTCTATCTCTATCTCTATCCATCTCTATGTCCATCTTACGCACATGAAATCGGCCAATCAGGAACTGGTTCACGTTTGACAGAAAAGTGGTTCATTTTCGCCCCGTATTGTCACCTCTTCTCTTAGGTAAAAACCAATGAGATGTACACAGGCGAGGTTTACATCACATAGACCTGTGCACGGGTGAACTTTAGTTCATCTACTGAAATTTTTTGACACAACAGTGGGGCCCTGTTTACTAAAAATGAACACATGAATAATGCTCACGTAACATTTCGAAAGGGCCTATCAACTTTTGTAAATAATTTACTAGGTCGTTTTCACGAGAACCGAAGTACGCCAACGCAAACTAAGAGCACTATCGAGAAGGGGAGAATTTCATCTGCCCGATGGTGTTGTTAGTTTGCGTGAGCGTATTCGGTTCGCGCGAAAAAGGCTTAACAAGTTTTGTGTACATAAGTTGATAGACCCGTTTCAAATGTTACGTGAGTATTATTCATGTGTTCATTTTTAGTAAACAGGGCCCCGCTGTTGTGTCACTTTTTGTCGAGTGAGTGAACTTAAATCCATCCGTGCACTCGTCTATGGACGAGTGCACCGATGCATTTGAGTTCACTCACCCGAGGAAAAGTGACACAAGCTGCGGGCAATGTTTACTAATCATCAACACTAAATGTTCATGAATAATTAATAATGAACATTTAGTGTTCATGATTAGTAGACATTGCCCGCAACTTGTGTCACTTTTTCTCGAGTGAGTGAACTCAAATTCATCGGTGCACTCGTCCATTGCGTAAATTAAAGACGACTTTTCTGAATGTCCACGTGTTAGTGCAAACTAAAATGAGTCTATTCAAGTGCAGTAAGCGATATATACGGTAGGTACGATCGTTCATCCTTTTATGCTTGGACCGTCTTATGTTAATTAATTCCGCTCCAAGGGTATCGATCGATAGTCAACGTTAATAAATAAGGGAGGGCATAGGCATAGCCAGAGGGAGCCGGGGAGGTGGCAAATGCCCCCCCCCCCTAAACTAAACAACACAAAGGCTTTCGGTGAAATGGCATTCGGCCAAATTTTCCTAAGTAAATTTTTTGTCGCCTCTCCCTAGCTCGAAACTTAGCTACGCCCTTGAGGGGGGAGGACTAATCCCTGGTGGGAAATGAATTATTTATGTGTATTTGTGCTAGTTTAATAACAATCTGTTTTTCTCTGTTCCTTCTAGACGAAGACTGGCAGAACGAAAAGGGAAATCGTAATCAACCAAATGAGCCAGGTAAGCATATTTTGTTAAGAAATACAATTGACACCATTTTCAATCATAGGTTGCAAAGACTGATCACTAATACTTCACTCATCGATCGCTATTTTTTTTAATTCGAATATTTGGAACGGTCAATCGCGTTAGCTTTACGGAGCCGATAATTTATTGTTCATTTTTTAATCCTTTAAATGTGTCGAACGGAATCCCTTTATGAAGAGCTTTGAGTGGGCTGGTTTATTTCCTTTAAATTCCGTTATAATTGCTTATCTTTTGACAGATACGCGTATTTCGTCTACTACTTGCAGACTTCATCAGTGCCAAGTACTCAACACCACTGAAGAATCCATCTTTTATCTTGGTTGGAGGCGAACCAGCCCAAGGCTGAAAGCCTCCCTAATAAAGATAAATAATAATAATCTTTTATCTACGACTTATATACTAATCAATAGGTACTAAAATTTAGCAGGTATCCACTGCCATGTCAAAATTTACCTAACCAGCTACCTAAATTCAGTCTCCAACGCGTATCTGTCAAAAGATAAGCAATTATAACGGAATTTAAAGTTCATTTTTTGTTACAAAATTAACTTATTCACTAGGCATAGATAGTAGGAGTTGGGTCGAATACTCGCCGCTTTCGTTCACTTACAGAAAAATGTTTATTCTCCACCCAGCGAACGGCATTCGCGATCTGAAATGCATTTCACATATTAAATCAATTGCCAAATGCTATATTTTGACGGATAAGTATTCTTTAATTTAGAATTGATTCAGTTCAAAAGTGAATTTTTAATTAGCCGTATCTGCTTTTGCAAACGAAGATTCAAACATCAAGTTTTCAAAACACTTTGCTCTACCGTGCGAACTACCACCACCATCAGGCAGGGTAAAGTGTTAGTTTGCGTGTGCGAGCTAAGAGTTTCAACAAATTGACGTTTGAATCTTTGTTTACAAAAGCAGATCCGGCTATTTGAACATTAACTCTTGAGTTAAAAGACATTCCAGTTACAGGTCTTTCAGACAGCGAATATTTACTGTACATCACAGATAAAAATTCTGAATTTTAATTGTGATGTAAACATTCATTCACGTAGACTTGTATTTCATTTCACGCAACCGAGCAACTTGCAAACAATGTTGTTTACAAAGATGGGCTTTTGTATACAATATTTGCTACATTGCATGAAATGTGTCAGAACTTTACATGATATATAGTGTAAACGTATATGATATGTGACGCTCCATTTATGTGCATCATATTGAACAAAAATTTACACTACTTTTTCGAACTGTGTATTTTACATGCGACTGAAAATCAAAGTGACATTTTTCGCTGACATCACTGGTTTCGTCGCAAATATTGATAATGACATAAGAAGTCACTAGTCCGACTAGCGTACTTCACTGCTGGTGCCACTATGTATGACAGAAAGTTCATAATACACTAAACGTTCGAAAAAGTAGTGTAAATTTCTGTTCAATATGATGCACATAAATGGAGCGTCACATATCATATACGTTTACATTATATATCATGTAAAGTTCTGACACATTTCATGCAATGTAGCAAATATTGTATACAAAAGCCCATCTTTGTAAACAACATTGTTTGCAAGTTGTTCGGTTGCGTGAAATGAACTACAAGTCTACGTGAATAAATGTTTACATTACAATTAAAATTCAGAATTTAAAATTAAATTATAAAAATCAAAATTAATTCATAAAAATCATCAACATTGCCGGTTTTTTTTCAGCAACCGAAGACAGAAGACGGGTTGCCAGAAGTAGAGAAGATCCCAGGCGACATACGTTAGGCGGAGACATGTTACACTATCAAGGACAAGGCGAACTATCAGTGCTCCAGAGATCTCTGGATTTAGATGTAGGTTGTTCTATACCAAAAACGTTTTATGTTTTGATACCTTTCACTTGTAGACTACTCAGATGAGAGCATATGCGCCAGTAAATCAAGGTCCATTATTCGATGATGACCCAGGAATTATGTCTGAAGTGGAAACGGCCAGCACTGGATTTAGACGAGGTGGAAAACAACGATCCTCATTACCAGTTGTGAGAACGCCTTCTAAAACTCTAGAAAGACCTTTAGGTATGTAAACATTTTGTTTTTAGGTACTATTTTGTTTTCTTTATTAGAGTGAAGGTACTAAATAACAAACGCTTAGAGTATTGGGTTAAAGTTTTTTTTGCTTAAGAAGCTTCTTCTTTGGACCATTTTTAAAATTAGGATAGCTCTAAAATAATTTGTATTCAAAGCTAAGTTTATAATTTTTGATAATTGTTCTTGGATAATTTTTAACTGAGATGATTTCAAGGTACTTTAATAAAGTAACACCTTTCTATCTCTTAACGATCTCCTTTAAGAGCATTTTTCCTAACTCTAATGGTCACTTGGCATTTCAAGTTTATTGCTCTGCTCATATTAGCTTATTGCCGGTTCCCAACTTAGTGTTCTTAGAGCACTTCCACAGTTATTAGTTGAGAGTTTTCGATGTTTGCACCGTTTTGCATTAGTATTATTGTGTGGCAAGTAAAATCATACTCTATGCCCAGGGAAGTCGAGAAATTTTTCAACCCGAACAATTTCTAGACTTTAGCGGGAAATAAAAGTACAAGTTCTTTTGTCTTCAGTTTTAGGCGTTTTTGTCTTCAATGATTTTTTTTTGCGTTGCACTACATTGCGGAACAAAGACCGACGTTAAATAAAGGAAAGAAGAAAAAACTTTTTTTGCTATCAATGCTCCATCTTTTGACCTTTATATATATATATATAAAGTGTACCCAATGTACCAAACGTCTAAAACTGAAGACAAAATTATTAGAAGTTTTGTCTTGCTAAATTCCGATCCTGGACAACTGTTCAGTGTCATGAAGCTATGGGCAGTTCTACCGTTTTACACAAATAAACTTTCTCAGTTGAGTTCTCTGTCTTTCTAGGACTAGTGTTTTTGCAATACAGATCTGAAACAAAAAGAGCATTGCTTCCAAATGAAATCACCTCTATCGATACAGTGCGCGCTTTGTTTGTGAGATCATTTCCCAGACAACTGACTATGCAATACTTGGAAGGACCGAATGTGAAAATCTATATCCATGATTCCAGTAAGGATATGTTCTATGAGCTTGAGGATGTGCGGTGAGAGAAAAATTTCAGAATAATTTTATTCTATGTTATATCATATTTCTTATGTTTAAATTTAGATCGCATCTTCGGGAAATTCGCGATCGTTCAGTATTGAGACTATTTGAATCCAATGAAGTAAGTGCTCCTCAAGTGTTACCTGGAGGTCCCGGTATTCCACAACCATTAGCTACACCAGCTGGACTATGGGATTCTGAACAAGTGAGTAATAAACCTAAAATATTTTTCATAGGGTAAAGAACGTCTTCAACATTTGGGAGACCTTATCTACCGTTATACGCATAACTGTCCCATGTTCTATGTTTTAACTGCAATCATTATGCACCGTGGGACTATTATGCGTATAACGACCGTATGAAGATTTTTTTTAAATAACCACGAACCCAGCTCTGAGATGCGATGTATACTGCTATAGAATACGAGCGTTGAGGGATATTATTTACGTCCTTCTTGGAATATAGTCTCCGTGCTATATAAAAGAAATCACCTATTTTACCCTTAAATCATACATTTTGTTCCACACTGATATTCTTATATTATACTTTTCAGAGTTATTTCAGCGAACCGGAATTCGACTCCGATTATCGACATCAGCACATTCATAAGAGTAAGGTAAGTACAGATAAAACAAAAGTTGTCATATCCCTGTCATTCTCTGTACATGAATTCTCTGATTTGTTAAGATGTTTAAATCGCGTTCAATAAATTATGCTGTTGCGGGATATTGTGGATGTCTTATGATTATGCTCAATCAACTTGTTCAGCAGGTGGTTATGGCGCGTAGAATAGAGGACAAAAATCATTGCTACTATGTCACACTGCAAAATACAGTGTTGCCCACAACACAGTAGCTTAATCTTGCCATAAGATTATCAATCTCTTAAACAATTAATAACTATTTGACGTTTGGCTGAAAAACGATTTTCTGCAAAGTTGTAGCTGATTAAAAATCCCATAAGAATAGCAATGGAATTTGTTAACAGTATAATACGTAAAAAGGCTAGAAGACAATGAACAAAAAGTTTTGTTTTCCCCGAGGGGAGCGACACATCTAAATCTCAATTCTAGATGCTCAAAAAATCTCACACTAGCGAATCAATCTTTGAAAAATCATCTTTCATTTCTCGCATCTACTTGCATCGCGCTTCATCTTTTTGCAGGAAATCTTCAAAATCGACATAAAACTTTCTTCTATCTACACAGCGTGCGTGCAGCTAGCCACAGCTAAATACAATCTTTTCTGCATCGTAGATAGAGTCGTCCCCCTCGGTTTTCCCATTGTAATTTCAATATAAACTTCAAATGGTTTGTGCCAAGTCAGTTTCTTATCAAATCAGTTTAAACTTTCGGAGGCTAATCAGGACCCGATTTGAAACCGTTTGAACACTGTGGAGTGAAAATTTCAAATTTTTCATCAGTCTACTGGTTAGGCAGAAGAGATCTTTCTGTAAGACAAAAGGAGAGACGCACCGATGGGAAGACCTACACGGTAAGAAAAAAGTACCCAACGGCCAGTTCACTTTTACCTACTTTTGACTAGTTTGTCTCCTTTTCTCCTACTAATGTTGTCAAAAACGGACGAGCAAAACCACCCAACAGGGGTATACCTACTGTTGGGTACAACTAACTTACTTTTGGTAAAAAAGCCAGTGGAAAATTCCATACGAACTGCACATAAGTAAATGAAAATTACTTTGACCCGCTTTACCTACTTTTGGGTTCCTCCACTATAGTGCCAAAATGAGTGAAAAGAACTTAATTTTGGGTACTTTTTTCTAACCGTGTACCTGACCACCGTTCTCAAGTGATGTTGTCTAGGCTGAGGTCAGGACACACTCGAATGTCGCACAACATTGCTGGGAATGGCGAATTCCATCGACGTTGCCCAATATGCCAGATCCATCAATCGGTGGAGCACATTATATGCCACTCCCCACAATACCAAGGAGCCAAAGACCTATACGGTATTTCTTGCAACATAAAAAATGCCCTCAGCAAGGACCCCTGCGCTATTGGCCTTTCTCCGTGAGACAGGCCTGTACAACCATATATAACTCCACCCGATAGAGTCATCACCGCCTGCAGCATACCATGGGTAGAAACAACCACCTACACACCAAAAAATTATGAATTTTAATGGTGATGTAAATATTCATGCATACTAAAATTGAAGCTTGTAAACTTCCTTTTCACGTAAACTAGCAACTTGCAAGAAATATTGCTTACAAAGATGGATGGTTGCATACAATATTTAGAATATTTCACTAAATAACTCATAAATTTACACGATCTGTAATGTGAATTTGTACGATATGTGACGCTCCATTTATGTGCATCATAGTGACAGAAATTTACACTACTTTTTCGAACTGTGTAGGAAACTCCCACCAGCACGAAACAGCATAAAAAGACAGCATTACTTAAGTTTTCTATTTTAAGAAACTCCTCTCAGGAACCCTCGTTCTCTTTTTAGAAGTGTCCCCTATGACCACTTCTCAATTTTTCAACTTTGTGACGTAGGGAACCCCCTTACAAAGATGAATGGTTGCATACAATATTTGGAATAGTTTATTAATTGTATCATAAATTTACACGATCTATAATGTAAACTTAAATGATTTATGACGCACTATGTGCATAATAGTAACGGAAATTTACTCTACTTTTTCGAACTGTTATTATTCCCAAATTTTTATCTACACAGTTCTATGTAAAGTTCTGACATATTTCATGCAATGTAGCAAATATTGTATACAAAAGCCCATCTTTGTAAATAACATTGTTTGCAAGTTGCTCGGTTGCGCAAAATGAAATTGATCAGTTCACGAAGATTTGCCGCACTCTTCTCTCACCCGTAAGTTTTGACAGTTTTGGGTGGTTTGTTTCGGCTCCCATTCGTTGCTATCTCTTTTACTCAGAAGCAAAATGATAGGGAGCAAAAAGTGAGGTTAGGGACCGTGCACTGATCTATACAAGTCTACGTGTTTGAATGTTTACATCACAATTAAAATTCAGATTTTTTATCTGTGCACAGTTCGAAAAAGTAGTGTAAATTTCTGTTCAATATACCAGCTGTTAAATGAGAAAGGGAATCAAAGGGGTAGTCAATTCTATTAAAATAATAATAGAGTGGTTTATAATTCTATGACTTCGCAGAACTTCTGAACTCATGTCTTTGTTTATCGTTAACTATTTACGTCCTTTATTTATATCTATATAGCTGGATTTAACAAATTCATCACCTTGCGGCACACAGCAAACAAATATATAAATTTAATTTTTCGCCGATATTTTATGCAATGAGCTGCCACCAACGTTAATCTTAAAATATCTTTGTAAGCTACCTTAACTGTTCACTGCCCAATTTTGAAAGTGATACGTATTGTTTTTCTGTAGTTTTTGCAGAAAAGTGGGGAAACTTCTCGCGAATACTTGTTTAATTCTTCTAATTCTAAATTTTTGCAGGTATGTTTTTAAATTTTATTTTTGTAAACTTAGAAGAAGAATGTACGTACCATTTTCAAATTGTTTGGAACCAATTGCATCAACCTTTGATTTCACTTGGATTTGTAAGAGGAAAAATACGACCGCGCAAATTAGGAGTTTACAGCACACATTTTGAAGTCCAGAGCGAAGCAGCAAAATTTTGCCACAAGTGGTCCAGTTTAGGCGGAAATATGCAGTGTTTTGAGGTGACCATTCGCAAGAATTTCGCAAGCAGGACGATAAATCAAATCGAGCACTTCGATACCTGTAATACCCAATGATTGAAATCATAACATTCATAAGTAGACTTACTAAAAACACAGTGAACAATATTACTGGTTAATAACGCTCTTGATTGGCTTCTGACAGATTTGAAAATAGTAGTTAAAAATCCTTTGATGAGCCCCCTGTAGAGCTAGTCGAAAAAAGAATGGCCGCATTACCTTGAAACTTGCAAATGGCCTTTTCGGCCACTCTGTAACTCTTTACTCCTATAATAAATCCCCGTTAGCAAACGTCAGTCTGTGCATGAAACATGGTAGAAATTTCCTTACCCTTTCACTCCTATGAAAATTTCATAAGTTCCTGTCAAGCTTTGCGTGAAGAGACGGTGCTTCACTGATACCATGGTGGAGTGAACACAGTTCGAAAAAGTAGTGTAAATTTCTGTTCAATATGATGCACATAAATGGAGCGTCACATATCATATACGTTTACATTATATATCATGTAAAGTTCTGACACATTTCATGCAATGTAGCAAATATTGTATACAAAAGCCCATCTTTGTAAACAACATTGTTTGCAAGTTGCTCGGTTGCGTGAAATGAAATACAAGTCTACGTGAATGAATGTTTACATCACAATTAAAATTCAGAATTTTTATCTGTGAAGAGACAAGACAAAGCTCACTAGGTATCATGCACAGATTGTCAGATGCTTTTGGGATGTTACCATCGGAGTAAAGAGTTGCAGAGTCGTCGTCAACGTCAATGCTTACTGAGTATGCAACCATAGCATTTCATAAGAGCCAATGCTGCAAACGTAAACAATGGCTTTTTCCACGAATTTCTCGAGAATGGAAAACCACCACGATGATTATGTAGAGGGAAAGTCCCCATATCCAAAAGAATTGGTGCACAGCAAAAAATTCTGAATTTTAATTGTGATGTAAATATACATTCACGTAAACTTGTGTTTCATTTCACGCAAACGAGCAACTTGTAAGCAATGTTGTTTACAAAGATGGGATTTTGTATACAATATTTGCAACATTTCATGAAAAGTATCAGAACTTTACACGGTTTATAATGTAAGCTTATATGATAAGTGACGCTCCTTTTATGTGTATCATATTGAACAGAAAAATACACTACTTTTTCAAACTGTGCGTGTATGATACTTAGCATGCACAGTTTTACGAGCGCTTTCATAAAATTGGCAATTTTGCCCAAGGAGAGCTTCGCACTACCATTGGAAAAAATTAAATGTCATCTCGAAATGTTTACTTCCAACGGCGAGGCCAAAAAGCACCGACCAAGCCACAGGCAATGACAGAAGCGCACCGATCCAAAAGCTTCTACTGACTATACGTAATCGCATGATCAACACGGAGAGTTACAACTGCTGCTGCCGGTTTCGACAACATCTCAGAGTGAACCGAAGAGCACCGAATGGGTCACATAATTCAATCAGTTTAAACAATATTTCCTACCTCTTGACATCGAGAAAATAGGGTCTTATTTATGCTATCCCAACAATATCAGCTATGTGCTACCTCATTTTCTTACAATTTCTGGTAGAAGGCCATTCTCAAAACTGCTCGACTATGTGATTAATTGAACTGAACTACTTCTCTGGTGTTTTTAATGTTGCTTCAATATGATATAAATATAACCCTTTATTAATTAATTTTCTAGAATAGTAAATTTGGCAACAGAAACACTTGTTAATCTAGACATGGTTATGAAGGATTTTCTCTATATGTCTTTACTAATTTCATAATTTTTTATTTTATTTTATTGGGTAACAAAACCACTATATACAACTGAAGCTTGTATTTCATAACGTGCAACATTTACATGACATGGGATGAGTTTTTATGCATGTTTTGGACGGTTTATGACGTGATGGATGTTTTACACATAAAAATGCATTGTTAGTATACCAGTATACCTGTTTTTTTTCGAGAGCATGATCATTTTTATTTAATATCAAGCAATAATTTAAAACTGTCCACAAACAAGATATGCCTTAGCTCGCAACGCCTGTTCCATATGTAGTCTAAGGTTTTTCCAAGCAAAAACAATTGCTCCAGCAAATGGCTCTTCGCCGCATTTTGTACACAAATTCATTATGGCACCAACCTCACCTTCTGCTGGCTCTCGATCGTGTTCACGAATTTCACTTTCAATGTCAGTTTCTTTACCAAGCTTGTTTTTAAAGTCAGGCAGACCAAACTCAGCTAACCCATCAAAAATGTACTCGCTACCTTTTCCTTCATCGTCGACAATTGTGCCGTCCTTCAGTAAGACCAATCCACGTTTCTGCAACTTTTTATCATCCTTATCATTGGTTTCGCGCTTAAAGATCTTCTGGGAGCGAGTTTCATCTATGATTTGTACATTTGCCGGATTGTTCAAATCAATGTAAGATGTTGATGTTTGTTTTTGGAAATCATCGGGGAAAACTATCTCACTATGAACTGCTTTGGAGCTTACAAAGTTGGTTTTCAATTTGTCTAGAATGTTTCCAATTGCCAATTGCTGTTGCAAATTTCGCCCACCGATGTGGAACTGGCCGCTCTTGAACGAAGTAGTAATCGTCGCTGCGTCTGATGGTACGAAACCTCCAATTAGTTGTGATGGTAAACCTTTCACTGGAACACCTAGATTTCCAGTAGACGGCTGATTTTGAGCAAAATTTATTTTTACGCTTGTCGGAATTTGGCCATTCGCAAGCAATGGGTTCGGAGGTTGAGTGGCTGGCTGAAATGATTGAAAGGTAATACTTTAGCAAGCAGAGCAAAAATATGGCTTCAATTAAATTTGATTGGCTAATATTTATAGGGCACGATGCAGAAAGTATACCGTTGTTTTAAAGAATGTACGCACCAAAAATTGGTAATGGGAAAAATCGTTCAAATATAATGCAAACAATATATTTTTTTTTGTTCCTTTGGTTTGTTATACGTCGATCTTGTTTTAAGTACTGAGCACCAATGCTACCGACGCCAGGGAGGCAGCTCCCACACCTGGACCCTACCTATCGACCCATCAACTCATGAACCGGGGACCAACGGCTTTACTTCTCTTCCCAAGGAAGGCGTGATCAGAGATGTTATACCTCAGAACATCCCGGCGGCGCCTACTGGGATTGAACCCAGGCCTGCTGGGGTGAGAGGTAATCACGCTTACCACTACACAGACTTTGTATGTGATTTATGTAAGACAAATATGCATTCTTATGCCACTTGGTGTAAAACGACATTTTTTTTATTTATCTATACTATTTCACAAATCTCAATGAGATTATACACCTTTTTATCATCAAAAGCTGAGATCCTGATGAACATAAAGTTTGTGTGAGCTCGGAGAAAATATACGAGATCGACAGTTTTGGTCAGTCTTTGGTGTGTACATTCTTTATTATCGTTTTAGTTATATTTTTTACCATTATCATTACTAATTATTGTACATTTTTTTACAGTTTATGCACTGCCCATCAGGGATAGAGAACAGCACATAGCATAGACAAGTAAACACATGGATCTGTGAGTTTGCACGTCATTGCTTAAGTTTTGAGCGCTAAGAAAAAATGTGCTTTTATCACATTTCTTTTTTCAATTTTGAAAGGTTAGGTGAAGGGCCAAACTACGAAACTAGCATCCTGAATGTTGTTTATGTTTACATTGATTTTGGAACGGTTTATAATGGAATGAGTTGTGCTTTACCACTTACAGTGGTGGCCTTTCAATCAGCACAATAGGCCGATTTTCATACAAGCCAACTAGCCAACTTTGGCATGTTGCAACTATGTTTTGGTATAATCAATTGAGCTGAAATTTTGACCCATAGCTAATAACATGCTGAATTTTGCGTGTACGTAATATCAAATTATTGGAAGCGCTTGCCGAAAATTGGTTTAAAATGGTCAACTAATTAGCACATTTGTAATTTGAAATTTCCGAAGTTTATTATTTAATAACTTTCTTAAGCACGCCGTCATTTATTGGCAATATGGTTGAAAATTTTAAAACTATAACACTTCGGAAATGTTGAATTATAAATGTGATAATTAGTTGGCCATTTTCAACCAAAGATTCACCTGGGAACTAAAAGTGTAATTTCGTGCATTCTGTGTCACATTACCGTTATTTAAGCAATTCAGGGCAAAGATGCTTGTTCACTTTAACGGGTCCATGTAATCGTTTTGCTCAAGTCATTTAATTTCGTTAAAAATTGAGCTAATAAAAAAGCTGCACATGTTCGTCACTCAATGACTGTTAGCTCAAATGAGTGGTCAAAGCAGAATTTTGAATATCGCTGTGTTTTGTCGTGATTTTGCAGTACTGATACCCATCTGGAAAAAAACAGCAAACCGAGAGAAACGCTGTTGATAATTTATTTCTTATGGATGGAACTTGTAGTATGTTTTAGTGCACAGTGTTAAATGCTGGTAGTTTACAATCGATTCTAATGGATAACACATTAACACATTTCTGACAAAAATCCATATGGGACTGTTATGCTTTTATGAAGACAAAACTTTTAGGTAATGTTTGTTTGAAAATAATATTGATTCCATAAAACACATGTGTTATGGAATGAGTAAAATTATCTCTTTTTCTTCGTTCTGGACCTTACAAGCTTATCCACTCTTTACATTTTCAAAACAAATTCATGGACAATGAGCATTTTGCACCAGTTTAGACTCCAGATCAAACAATATTTTTTAATGCGTTTATTTTTCCAGGCTCATTTGCCGCCAAACAATAACTGCACTGGAAACCTGGGAAATTAACTAAGAGGTACTTTACCGTCTTCGTTGTGTTGCAAATATCGTAATGTTTTTGGAACGTAGTCGCACTCCCTATATTGTATTTCCTGAGCGGAGACGAGAAAGAATCAGTTTGTCCTGACGTATTAAATCCAAAAGAACGATGTTAGTGGCTTTTTGAGTTCGACTTTTTGTCGCTTTGACTAAGAAAAAATGTTTTTCCCGTAAATTTTTTAATGAAATATTTTGAGATTAATCAATATTTTTTTTTCGGGGTGGTTAGAAGATCAATATTTAATTTTTTTGGCTAGGCCGAAAATATAACTGTGTACTTATTTTTAGTGCAGGAGTCTAATGAGGTGGTGAATCTGTAATAATTATAGATGAACATTTTAGATGGTTCTATCTACATCGATAAATTCTCTTCAGCGACTTTCTCTTTTAATAATCACGGCTTAGCAAACAGATTTCGTGATATTACCAGATAGTTTGATAAAAGAGCTAAAATAAATTTCATATTTACCGGTAATGTTGGCGCTGGTGGAGCTGGTGTTACTTCTCCTCCGTGGTGATCAAAGTGATGGACGTGGTGATGTTTGTGATCGCGATGAGCTTTTCCGGCGCTCAAAGCTACCTTGTAGAGTTGTACCATCGTCAATTCAAAGTGCAAGTCTGTATCAGTTGGACCAGTTATAGACGGACCTCCGGAAAATAGCTTTCCATGGGGTTTAATTTCATGGTCTACCAGCTGGAATTAATAACACAAACAACGTTTTTAGCAGTCAAATTTAGCTCGCAGTAGCATAAGAAAATAAAAACGTTCTTTTGGTGAACCAATAATTGTTGCTTACCCGGTTATGGAATCCTCGTCCAACTCTTTCTGATTTGACCCACAATTGCCATTCTCCGGTTTTGCCGTTCCAAGAAGCACATGTGTGATGCCATTTACGCATTCGGAATGGATAATTCAATCTAAAAAAAATTATTGAAAGTAAACGATTAACTTCTAACAGTTTATGCATTTTGTTTCTTCAAATTATGTCTAATTTGATTTTTTAGACTATACTTCTTTTAATGCCTATGACTTAGTGCAGCTTTTTTGACGCATAAAAATGGTGGGATATGCACATGGTTTCTTGCATTTACACGTCTGTGGGGTTTTTTTTTGTAGTTTGTATAGATATGGAGAAGTACACATTTATACTACAAACGTCAGAGAAGTCTATAGAAGATATTTCTCATTAAATTTTAGGTAAATTATGAGTATAGGTGCCCAAGTAACAATTTTGATTTTATGAGGGTTCTGTAGACCACAATTTAGACTTGTAGAATGCTTTAAAACCTTGATAAAACTTGCAATGTCACTTGGGGTGAGCATATATGTATACTTACACACTAAGATTTTGTTTCCGTGTTCGGTAAATTTTACCGAAATCAGAACAGCTGAACGTTCGGTAAAACTTTGACCTTCATTTTAAAGGCAATTGAATTTGAAAATAGTTTCAAAATATGTTCAACCTTGTTTAAATGATCAAATCTTGTCATTTTAGTGGAGATTTAGTTTCAAAGATGCTGAAAAGCAATTGAATTGAATTGCATAAATTTTACCGAACAGTTCAGCTGTTCGGATTTCGGTAAAAATTACCGAAGTCGGCGATAATTTCTAAGTGTGTATACTTTGATATATCTGCAAGAAACCCGTGTACATATACGTGCACCTATATTTTTAATTTACCCAACTAAGCAAAAGTCAGAGAAGTCTATAGGGGATTTCATTCCACCATAATATCCACCAGATCTCGCTCCGAGGTGGATAAATCAGTTGTCTAATATGTAGGTTAAGACTTCAAATGCTTCTTTCGATGTACAGTTCGATATATTGATTAGCAGCGCATGTCGATCCATACAAAATTGTTAACTTTTACATGTTATAAGTTTGTCCTCTTATTAATAATTAATTTAGCTAAAATATTCGTTACAGAGCTACAAATATATTAAATTTTGCGATTACAAAATACCATTTATTTTCAAGCACGTATCGAAAAGTGAGATACCGTAATCCGGAGACAAATCACCGGGGTGAAATTGATCAAAACGCCTTGCGTTTTCAAAAGTCCCGTAGAAAATATTCTGTAATAGATATCAAGAGAAACCTTGATAGTATTACATCAATAGACTAGAATGACTGAAGAGTTTATCTAAAAAAAAGAGTATATTTTACTGCATACATTTCAATCTTATTTTACTAGCATTCAATAGCTTACAATATCGTCTTTCAAACAAACGATTATAGGGCTGCAACGACTGTTTGTCATTAGCTTGCGAGTGGATGTTTCTGTAAACTTAGTGTCACTGAAGTCGAAGTATTCAAAATATGACGAAAAAAAATGCCATTGCAATTAGAGGCAAATTTCTAACGAATTTGAAGAAATTGCCTTCATTTATTTATTTATTTATTTATTTATTTATTTATTTGTTTGTTTATTTCGTCAACCAACGTAGACTAGTACATATTAGAATACAGTTTTGTTTTCTTAAATTTATTTATTTATTTCGTCAACTTTGGACAAAAGGTTAAAAGTATATTTTTTTCTTTAATAAAAATTAAGCAGTGTCAGCTTTCCTATTTTTTATGAGTTATAATGCCTTATGGAGTAAAAATATTGTTTTAGTTTATGCCGAGACATTGTAAAGTCAATGGTTTCGCAGTATTGATTGTAAGAGGCCATCATGCGGTTAAATGGCCCATATTTTACATAATTTGTGCGATGATGTTTTATGGCAAATAAATTTCGATTTCGGAGTTGCCGAGTAGTTGTTGTAGTAGTTGCATGGAAATTTACTTATGATAAAAGTTCTCCACTCACTTGCTATAAAAAAATGATTTTCTGAATTTCGAAATCATTAGACGTTATAATGATATTTTATACTTGTTAGATACAAGAAGATGTTGAAAGGCAAGTATCTGACACATAAAACTTGTCAATTTCGCTTCCGGAGTGTTACAATAAGCGATTTTATAATTCGTGAGCGTTCACTCAGAGTGAGCGCTCGCGAGTCGTAAAATCGCTGATTGTAACTATCTGAAAGCGAATTTGACAGGTTTTATGTGTCAAACACTTTCCTTTCAACCTCTTCTTGTATCTAACAAGTACAAAATATCATTATAACATCTAATGATTTCAAAATTCAGAAAACCATTTTTTTTATGGCAAGTGAGTGGAAGCACACGGGAAAAAATCTGATCTCCGAAATGAGACAAATGACTCATGATTTCATGAACACAGCGTATTTTCATGTTATGAAAATACACCATGAATAATATTCATGATATCATGAGCAACTTTTCCGTAACGCAGCAAACATTCCCAAAATCATGAATCATCCGAGTTGAAATCATGAGCTAATTCATGGGTTTAACTTTTAACCAAAAATTGTAAAAAGAATAAAATCAAGCGTCAGAATGGATTCGAACCAAGAACCTTGAGATCATTAAACCCATACTTTGACCACTAGACTATCAGTACTTGTATAAAATGGAAGACAAAAGGTGTGTAAAAGATACCTATGTAGTGTGGTTTATGAACACGGTTTGCCAAGTACGTGTAACGCTTGTAGCGGTCTTGATTGCACTGCATTATGAAATCATGAATTTCCATGACAAAATTATGAATCATTGTTACGATTTCATGGGATGGCAAGTTTTTTCATTTCATGATTTTTTATTCATGAAAATGGAATCGGATTTGTTTCCGTGCAAGCCTGTATGGGTCCTGAAAGTTATAGCAAAAGCGCTTGATAAAGCCTAGCATGTTATTTGCCCTGTGAATAATTGTGTTGTAATGGTCTATGAAAGTTAGTTTAGAGTCTAAGATAATTCCTAAATCCCTAACTCTTTCACATTTTTCGCCACTATGTATTGTAGGAAGTACACTTTACACAAGGATTTAAACGTCTGATTTTGATCCAGGGAACCCAAATTCATAAAGCCGGGTAGCCATTTAAAAGGTTGACCATATTACCTCATATCGACATTTTCATTCAGAAATTTTTTAAATATGTCTATATGGACCATAGCATTCTTTAAATACGAATGGCATCAAAATCAAATTTTCAAAAATATTTTAGTAGGGGAAATGGCTTTAATGTTGGCCTATGGATTTAAGATTGGGCCCATCGCTAAAAATCTGCTGTTTAACAATTGTATCTAGATGAACACGTCATTGTTATTGAAAATTTAGTCGATTGCTGAATTTGTATGGGTCCAAATTAGGGGTATTTAGGCCGACATTACATCCAGTTCCCCTATGTGAAAAATCAAAATATTGGTAGGTTTTCTAAAACGGTTTTTTTTACCCGGTACATATCCCCTGTGTAAAATTGACCTGAGCGTATATTGATTAAGCGGTCAGGCTAAAGAAAAATCACGACATTATATTTCATACATTCCAAACCTTGCTTTCCTTAAGACTCCAGACACAATTTTCACTATGCAACTAAGATAATACAATTTTATACATACTCAGCTTACCTGAAAAGTGATTGTCCATGCACTGCAAGGCTGATGAAACTCATTTCGCGGGCATTAGCTATCCAAAGTTGAATCTCTCTTGGTTCATCAGGCACTAAAATAGAAGGGAGCATTAATTGATTATGTTGCATGAATTAGGAAAAAAAATCCCCTTCTGTCTTGCGTGAAGTTTTCCTTAATAAGGAACTTTTTTTGTCCTATTTTTCTCTCTAGCCATGGCGAAGCACGGAACATAGATAACTTCAATAAATAACGTATCACTCTGATGGAGGTATTATTATAATATCTCCTTCAGTACTAGGTTATTAATTGAAGTTATCTTATGTTCGTTCCTTCGTCATATCGAGAGAGAGAAAAAGTTGCTCCTGACGGTGTTCATGATAGGGTAAACTGCCCATGAATCCCCTAGTAACTGTGTAAAACGCTGTCCAGACTGGAGAGTTATAACATGTTATAACGATTGTCAAATAATTGCAACACAGAAACCACCATCAAGATAGCGCTATAACATGTTATAACTCTGTAGTCTGAACGTACTATTAGCCATGAACACCATAGCTACTATGCTCTACTACTGTCTTACCTGACTCATAACGAATATACATTGTATAATAAACAATAATTAAATAAATAAATATATCCGTGGGATTGTACACCTCGTCTATTTTTACATAGAATAATGAACGTAAAATGAGACGAGTTATACAATCTTTCGAATACACGTAGGGGAAGACGGTCACTCGGGGTAAGACAACCACCCTTTGGATTATTGGAACAATCAACTCTTGAAAAAAAATTTTTTTTGGTGGAATGTCAAAATACATAAACAAAAACAAATATGCATAGCGGTTAGACTGGTCCAAATCTATTGGAAAATTTATTTGTTGATTTGTTCAACGGGCCATATCTAAGATTTGTTTTGTTCGTTTTGGTGAAAAAAAACTCTCTCTGAAAGTTTCAGCTCATTACGATGTAACATGAGCTCGCATTTTTAATTTAAAGTTCATATAGGGATTTTGGTTAAATTGTATGGAGGAATAACACTCACTCTTTCGTGCCTAAAACTGGTTCCGTAACTCGATTTAGCTCAGAATGTCAGCCCTTGCAGGTTAAACTATGAACGAGTAAACTATTAAATTACTTGAGCAAAACAATTACATGGAGCTGTTAAAGTGAACAAGCATCTACGTACTGAACTGTTAGGATAACAATAATGTGACTCGGAATGCACGAAATAACACTTTTTATTACCATGTGAATCTTTGTCATTGACGAAACAATGAATGAGATTTTGACAAATGTTTTTTTGAGGATCAAGTCTATCAGTGAAAACAATTTGGTCAATATCGCGCAAAAGGCAATGCCAAATCTCAGTACTGACTGCAGCAACTGAAATTGGTAAAATTAAAGAGGCTAACAACATCTGTTTTCGAAATACTGCGGCGCAAAATACGCATATTAGCGGCCCCAGTGGTGCAGTGGTACCTGGTTTCGGTAGCATTGGTGCTCAGCACGGAAAACAAGATCGACGGAAAAAAAATCAAAGGGAAAAAAATGCGCATTATGATTTTTGCCAGGGAAGCAAACATGTAGGCTTTATCTATGTTCTACTCCATTGAATTTGAAAGGTTAACTCCTGATGGTTATGCTGCCACAATACAATTCGCGGGTTGCATTATGCCCCGCTTAGAGTAACAAATAGTAATGTTGAAATTAACTACTATTTTTTTCTAATAAACATACCAGTCGACTTTGGAGACGGAAGATGAAGAATGTTCCTAACAACTTGCATCAATTAAATCCGTAATTTTGATAGTGTTCAGAGATACCAGCTGTTTCAAGAAATAACTTGTAATATTGATATTAATTGACAAATTTTATATGTCATACACAAACTTTACCACCTCTTCTTGCATCTTACAAATAAAAAATATCATTATAGTATCTCATTGTTTCATAATTACGAAAAATAGCATTTTAGCTGTAATGAGCAATTGCAAGCCTGTCCCTAATACAGATTTCAAAGTTGAATTCTATCTGGTCTCACCAAACGGTGTTTATTCAATCACCGCGTGGTGAGTGGTGGTGTACTCCAGTACACAACAAAAGGCTCCCCGCAAGCAGTGAGCTGCAGCCCACATGAGCATCCATAGAAGGAGGAAGAAGCCGCACCGCTATTGATCGGAATCAGTAGCTCTTCGTGAGTCACTGTGGGCCATCTATGTCAAACGCGTCATACAAAAGAGTATAAACAGAGAGAACCCCGCTCAAATTCCAAATACAAGCTCCTGCTGCAGTTTTCAAATAAGATTTATTATATAAGACCATGAAGTCCTACGTCACCATTGCGTACAACCCCATAGGGCTGACCCTTATAGTTTTTTTTAAATTTCAAATGATTTTCATTGAATAGATTTTTGCTTCCACATAGTGCGTTTATAGTTCAATTCAACAATTTTTGCCATGATATCAACTAGCAGATGAGATAAAAGGGGGGAGCAATTCATGCATTAGTTGACATAGAAAGCTCTTCATTAATAATACTGTGGAAATGCATGTAGAACACTAAGTTGAGAGTCGGTAAAATGCTTACTACATAAGGCCGATAAAAATTGTTATTTGACTGTTTGGTACCCCTTTTACTATGTATTACCAAGCCGGAGGCGGCGGGTTCGATTCCTGGTCTAGCCGAGGACATTTTTTTGGATGGAAATTCCCTGTGCATAAAGTACCATTGTGTTTGCCACATAATGTTCAATTTCTTCAATTCACAGAAGAAGGCTGCACATTGTAGACGAAATATGCGTATCTGTCAAGGATAAGCAAATAAGCTAGTGGAATTAAATGGAAATTACTAATCCTTCTCTATCTCTCTTTACACATCTTAATCCTTGTTACTTTTTATGCCTTGTTGATAGTGACAAGACTTGGCTTTGTCCACCGAGGATGATCTTGAAACAAGGAAAAAATGAGTTAGTTAGTCTTTATCTATGTGATTCCTAATCTTCTATTCGTTGTTCCCTAGGTTTAAAATGGTTAAGACTAGGGTTCTGATGCATAGTCGGTGTCATTCCTTAATTTTGTTACTAAGAAATCCAATTTTCACTGACAAAGGGGCGCTCCTTTGGAGGGTGTTCCAACACTCCGAAGGGTATAAATAGCGGAACCTTTCAATTAGAGTCGGATCCTTGCGATAAATGCAAAAATGACAACTGTGAAAAAATCAGCTACTTCATCATTTCTCAGTAGTGATGGAGTAATACGACATGCACTAAACTGAGGACACGGGATATACTACAATAGATCAAATTACTGGTCGCAGTGGTGTTAGGTCCTGAACAGAGGAAAAAAAAAGTCCTCAATTAATAACTGCGGAAGTGAATCTAGAAGTCGACAATAGGTTCGCTATAGAAGCGTTAAGCGCCTAGAAGAAGAATGAGCTTATTAGATTTTAGAGCAGAAATACTATTAATATGGTGCAAATTGCATCAATAGCTCCATATATTCTACCGTAGACACATCTTATACCCTGCTTATGCTTTTCGTATGCGTGTGCACATGATTTCTGGTCAGTAATGCATCAGATTTTTCTGGAATGTTACAATTATTCATACAGAATATGTAATACATACTACAGATTTTTAAATAAAAATATATCTGAACTTCCACAACATGCCTGTTAATTCTTCTGTCCATTATCAAATTCCGCATACACGTCTTTTCAGAAGTGTCAAATAATTTTGGGAAGTAAAGCCGTTGGTCCCGGCCCATGTGTCTTGTGAATGGGTGCGATATCCTACGCAGGTGTGGTAGCTGCCTTCCTGCACATTCGATTGCCGTCAATGGATGGCAATCGATGTCCGTCGGTGATTGGCACTAGATTGCGGAACAGAGACCGACGTTAAATAAAGGAAAGAAGACAAATAATTTTGAATCTAAATTCATCCTCAGAAGTGACGATCCCTCTGATGTAAGCTGCCTTAACTGTTAACAGTCATAATAGCGAACCTGCAAAATGCGTGGTGATGCTGTGACCAGTGTTTGGAAAATCAATGTCAAATCTCATTGAGCCTCTCTGAGAGAATAAATCCGCGTGCGAATCTGGCAAACAACTCACATTTGAGATTCTCATGCATCTTCACGCACTCACACCCACAACGCCAAAAAATCTTTCCAGTTTTTAACTCATAAAAACCACATGAACGTCAGTTTAGAGCATACTCATGCATGTTGTGTTAGTTTTCCATCCACTCACGCAAAAATAACAGTCAATGAAGAATGCCAAAATATAAAGTAATTCATTTTTCAAACTTTCAATTTTATCGACCTTAACCGACTCTTAACGGAATCCCTTTATGAGGAGCTTTGAGTGTGTTGGTTTATTTCCTTTTAATTCCGCACAGCTCTTCATTTTTGAACCTGAAAACTCATCGGTGATTTTTACGCTGTTGAATTTTAAGAACATGAGATTTGCGTGTTAGAGTTTTTCCGCCTATTGCCAAAGTGCAATAAATCATTCGCAAGCAGTATATTTCCAAAACACTCTAACCAGAACTAACACTTAAATATAGACAATGAATAACGGAAGTACTTTCACCCATTTTCTTTTTTTTTTCTTTGATAAGTTTTCTTTCGATCTTGTTTTCCGTGCCGAGCACCAAAGCTTCCAACGCCAGGTAGACAGATCCCACATCTGGACCCTACCTTTTTTTTTTTCCTTTGGTTTGTTTTTTCCGTCGATCTTGTTTTCCGTGCTGAGCACCAATGCTACCGACGTGCCAGGAAGGCAGCTCCCACACCTGGACCCTACCTATCGACCCATCAACTCATGAACCGGGGACCAACGGCTTTACTTCCCATCCGAAGGAAGGCGTGATCAGAGATGTTATGCCTCAGAACATCCCGGCGCCGACTGGGATTGAACCCAGGCCTGTTGGGGTGAGAGGTAATCACGCTTACCACTACACCACCGGCGCCGTTGTCTGGACCCTACCTATCGACCCATCAACTCATGAACCGGGGACCGAAGGAAGGCGTGATCAGAGATGTTATATGCCTCAGAACATCCCGGCGGCGCCAACTGGGATTGAACCCAGGCCTGCTGTGGTGAGAGGCAATCACGCTTACCACTACACCACCGGCGCCGTTTTACAGTTTCTCATTAACGGTTAAACAGAATTACCCATTTAATGGGTATGGTATACACACTTTTTTTTTGTATTATAGTCACTTTAACGCTCTTGGGTCATTCGTCTTGTCTTGTCTGGTCTGGGGGTGAGATTTGAACTCGTGACTTTGACGTCACACACATCCATTTCTCTTCCAAATGGGTGAAATTGTACTCATTAATGAGTACTTAGGGTACTGTTGGAAAAATTAACCCATACTTTGTAGGTATTCTCTTAGTTAAGTGAACCAAAAGCAAGTAGCAAGTGGCTAGCAAAAGCTAGAATTTTAAATCTAAAATGTATATAATAATGGACAATTTATAGAAGAAATAATCACAAAATATTGTTTTTAATAGTAAACGTCATTTTAACTGCTCAAATTAAGTGGTTAATTATCGATATGCAGTATCGCTGTATGTTTGAATTGCAAAAACAAATAAAATTAAATGTTTATTATTATTTGCCCTGAACAAATTGTCTCCAGTCCCCAATGGTGCGTCAAGATAGAGTTATTCTCTTGAAAAAAAAAACCAGCTAAGATGCTGTGAAAGAGGATTTGTTATATAGTTATGTAATTTGTCTTTGCATCCATATAAGAGACTTGCGAATAATAACCAGTTTGTCATGCAATCATTGAAAACAGAATCAGCATGTATTTTGCTAAAAGGCAATGTTAAATCATGGTTTGCAGCGTACCTATTCTGCTGCGTTCAGTTCTTCAAGGTCTTTTGGGACGGATCTCGACAAGGTTCCAAGTGAAATGTAGGGCAAAATATAATCAGGTTTTGCTCTCACTACGCTTCAAACCATTAATTCGATGGCTTGCCATCGTCATTAAGAGGCTAGCTGATGGTCAGAAACTTCTCTGTACCATATTTGCCAAATAGCGTTGTGGCTAAAACCATTCTAGAAACATCGTGGCAATGAATCTTAACGCATTTTGCTTTGATGCTTTTCTTTGCGCACGCTCTGTTTAAGCCTTTTTAGATGCATTCAGCTACTCGAAAGCGTCAATAATTTACCATGAATGCAGGGCTAGGTATATCTCATTAAAAAAATTAAATTCGTTATTGAATAATATTGTAGATGTTCATAAATCATACCCTTTATTTGGGAATGACATCCAGTGATCCCTTAATGTATACATATATCTGATGTTTTCTTCCACTAGTTTAAAACAAGATAGAGTTACGAACAGCTTCAGCCCACCCAATAGCTTGTTCAAGCACTGGGTTTTTCTCAAAAAAAAAAAAAAGTAATCGGATATCTTTCTTTAAAAAAAAAAGCTCAATTATGTGATGTATCTTGCAGCAGAAAATTAGCGTGGAATAGGGTCTCAGGGTGGCTGAAGCCGTTCGACACCTTACAAAATTACGATAAAATAGCAGCATTTTCGGTTCCTGGCTGGTCAAGGTTTTTTTTTCTTACTGGAAACTTTCTTGTCTGATATGTGAATAGTGGCAGACAATAATTGAATTCTCATGTTTAGTGGCCTTGGTGTTCGGCTGTCAGGAAACATAACCTTTCGCTTCGAAATTGGTTTTTGAAATTCGGATGGTTTCAGACTGTAATAATCATAAGTACCAAGAACATATACAAGAACTCTTAGTTGACGGCAGATGTAAGGTTTCAGTCTGTATGTAGTTGCTGTGAAGAAGTTTTGGAATGTCTGCATAAGTATGAACTACTTACTTTGACCGGTGATCAAATCAAATCATGGTGAAGTAATTAAAAATCACGCGTACTAAGTTCTTATTTAGTTCTTAAACATCACAGATAATCGGTCTACTATTGTACTACAACTTATATCTATGTTATATGTTAACTATGTGTTTATATCACATTTAGGTTTCCGCTCTAGTTCAACTCTCAAATATTGATAGTTCGTCAATCCAACGTCCACTTTTTCCATACGACCAACTGCCTGGAATTCCATGTTGGTTTCAAAATTTGCCTACTTACCTGAATAAGTAACGATGGTATGATCGCCGGTGTGATTTGTAAAACGCATCCATGCGCATACGGTAAACTGTTGCAATGACGGCAAATCATGTTCATAGGTTACAGTGCCCTCATGGTTAAATGCAAACTTATCAACGCTGCACTTGCTCTGTACGGGAGGAAAAGAAAAGCGCAAAATTACGATATGGCACAGTTTATAATGAACATCATTTCGAGACCATTATATAACACTCAAACAACAACAACAACCAGACAGCAATAAAATTGTTCCTCTTAGGCTCGTTTTTTTTTGGTTGCATTGTGTCATGATTTGCAAACCGTTTTAACATGATGTCGATATATGATTAAAGTCAATGATCTTCATGGTTAGTAGGCAATTAGTTTATCGATCAATTAGACCTTTTCATATGATTGAGGCCTCAGATAGCCTAGTCAGTTAAGGCACAATTTTATAAAGCCACAGGTGGCGGGTTCGCTTCCCGATACGGTATAGAAAATTGTTCGGGTTGGAAATAAGTTGAGAGCAGGTATAAATTCTAGTTCGAAAATAGTAATTCCGGACGATGAATAATTTAGTGGTGTTAAACTTATCTTGGCTTTTCGTTGCTGACATAGAAGACTGACACGTAACGTCCAGCATTAAAAATTATCTTGAAAGTTCCTCTGGTGTGTCCATAAATTTGTTATTCGTAAAACTCTAGGAATTCTCTTCAGGACACTATAAGAAAATATCATCAGAAAACTATTGAAATTCATTCTTCAACTCCTTTTTTTCCTCTGTTCGGAACCCAACACCACTGCTACCGGTAATTTGATCTATTGTTTATCCCGTGTCCTTAGTTTAGTGCATGTCGTATTACTCCATCACTATACTGCCGCTTTTCGCATGTCCGTCACATAGCGAAAATCAGCAAGCCGAGAAAATCGGGTTTTAAGTTTGCTTTGTATCATTGCTTCTTATCTGATGGGACAACCAATTTGACTGCCCAAACTTTTTTAGAACAAAGTTGTTGAGTTCATCCAGTATTTTGAAAATATGGATATTTAGCTACTATTTGCATTGAAAAACTCAGTTTTGACAAAAACGACTATGGGACCGACATGCTAGGAAAGAAAGCGATTAACGAATCTTCAATGTAGAGTGGCCTGAGGTTAAACCCATTATCTTCTGCTCAGTAAGCAAAAACGTTCGCTCTAAGGCCACCGAGTTCACACCATTTATTACCGAATTGTTGTGGTAACCATTCAAACCCGGCACCACCAACAACGACGAAGACAAGTTTCATAAAACGCGTGACGTTAAAACAAAGTGACTCTACACCCCTTCAATATGAGAGCACCCACAATTTTCTGCTCAATAAGCAAAAGCGACCACTCTGGAACCACCAATAGGGTTGCAAAATGTAAATCTGTGTTTTTGCCCAAAAAAATCTTTTCATCTTAGTTTTTGTCCAGAAAATCTGTGATGATAATTTAAAAATTTCCTTTGAAAAGTGATTGAGCCATTTTTCTGGTAGAGACAAAAAATAGATAAGAATATAAATTGCTTATGGTTTGACAAAAAAGAATTCTCCTTTTCAATTCCTCAAATAAAACATGCTTAGATATATAAGTTGGTGATGGTAAAATAAGTGAAAATAATGTTTTGTTTTTGAATATCTCAAGTTTAATTTTTTTTTAATGTTTGCGCATATTTTAAAAAACTGTGTAATCTGTTTAAATCCTAAAAATCCGTAATCTGCGAATACAGATTCTTGGTTTTAAAAACTCTGAAAAATCTGTAGAAATACAGAATTAACTGTAGTTTTGGTAACCCTGGCCACCAAGCTCTTCGTATCACAACATAATATTCATAATCGAGTTGTTGCTATAACCATTCAAACCCGATGACGGTGCTCCCTACATCAGAACTGTGACTGGCAATCTTGCAAGCCCGAAACTTGAAGCTATGAAAATGAATTTAGCACTATATTCTACTTTTACGCGATATTCATTGTTTTGGGAACTGAAGTATAAATGCTTCCGTATAATTTTTCTGCATTTTTAAACAAGTTACATTAAATATGATCGCAATTTGAGATCACAGGACCATAGGAAGAAAAAATGAAAACTTAAAAAATTGTTTGTACTGTATTATTGTCAATTTGATCCGCAGATTGTGTTTTCATCAGTGATGTTTCTCATGATTTTCAGGGCGTAATAATGCATCATATTTTCAATTTATATAAAAAGTTTTATATATGCACACAAAAATAAGCTCATCCACTCCTCAGGATTCCTTTGGTCCCATAAATTCCTTAAATTCTTAATTTTTTTAAAACATGCATGTGCCAATTTTTTTTTCAAAAATTCTAAAAAATATGTTTTAGCATTAAATAAGAAGGGCAATAAGAATAGCACTTCACCCATGCTATGTCTATGAATAAAATAATCTTATTTTTATATATTAAACCCAATCTACGTTAAATTTAATACATTTAATTATCTTTTTATCTAAAAAATCTTATGTATGATATGCAATGCATCTATAAATGCATACTGTGCGTTCTAATATTTTTTGTATAATCAAGTTCCTAGTAGGCAACAGATCAGGCAGCCATTTATGAGGCAGAGTTTGATTGGATGTGCTAAAAGATGATTCAAACTAACTAATTTAATCAAAAAAGCGCAACAGAACACAAATCTATAGTTTACAATTAGTTAATCAAGTCATCATAGTTGACGTCAACAGGTCATTGCAGCACCTTGAACTATTATATGGAATGGCACAATAACTCCAAAACAGGAATAGTGTTCTTGGATATGGCTTCTCTTGCGTACAACGAATTCAAGGCTTCTAAGATGAAAAATGCACTTGTAAGTACGCAACGTGATGCAATCTATCTGATCTCTGTCGATTTTTATGTCATGCAACCAACTGTCTGCTTTCTGATCACTTCACATGCGTGGCCTTGTCAAAGGAAAATTGCATAATGGCATCTGGAATAACCAGGTGACAGCTTTTACTTAAACCTAGTTATGTAACAGATTGATCGCTGTGATCTCCGCTAAATTAATTTCTTTATAGCTGCTCAAAACCAAAAAAAAACGCGATTAGTTGTGACGTGAAAACATGTTTGTCATGATTACGAAAATGGAGATGCAAAAAAATATACTGATTAACCGTCTATCAACCTTTTCGTACCTATCCTTGTATTAAAAAAAAATGATACAATATATTTTAGGTTCTTCACATAATGTTATTTCCAATCAAACTGGAATTCATTCTAGTTTTAGTTAACGCACCATTATGTTTAATATATTTTTGATTAGCTATACATTCATTGCTAAACTGGTCTGATTAATTGATTATCATCTTCTTCTTTGGATATTAAGCACCACTGGGACTTTATGCCGTCTTAAGCATTAGGGGTTAACTAAAAGCATTCTAAGCTTATAACATGCTTGCATCATTGATTATATTATGTGGCAAACACAATGACATTATATGCCCTCGGAAGTCGAGAAATGTTACCCACCGTAATGATGGGGAAATTTTATATTTTTATTTATTTATTTATGTCATCAACCGATGTAAACTAGTACAAATACATATACAAATTTGTTTTCCTTAAGAATATTGAAAAAATATTGCCTGCTATTCTATTTTTACTTCTTACGACTTATGATTCCGTATAGAGTAAACATACTGTTTTAGTTTATGCCGAGACATTGAAAATTCAATGGTTTCGAAGTATTGATTGTAAAATGCCATCATGCGATTTAATGGCCAAATGTTTGCATAATTTGTGCGATGATGAGTTATGGCAATTAAATTTCGATTTCGGAGTTGTCGAGTAGGTGCATAAAAATTTAATTTTGATAAAAGTTCTGCCGAGTTAATGCGCTGCGAAACGATATCGTTTACAAACAAAACCATTGCATATTTACTCTTTTAATGTTTGTATGTTTATAAGCATGCAGCATGCTTCATATGATGGAAGAGGAAATGATTTCCCCCTTTATTAACGAAGGGCATATAATAGAAATTACTTTTGTACTGATTCTAATCTGGATAATGGAGACCTTATAATGCTGCAATATTCCAGTATTGACCTCACATAGGCAATATATAGTGTTTTAATTGTGTATGGGTCCTGTAAGTTAAAGCAAAAGCACTTGATAAAGCCTAGCATGTTATTTGCCCTGTGAATAATTGTATTGTAATGGTCTATGAAAGTTAGTTTGGAGTGTAAAATAATCCCGAAATCCCTTACTCTTTCACATTTTTCTACATTCTGATTTGCTAATGCAATTGAAATGTTTGATGGTGATCATTTTCTGCTAAATGATATTAAGTTGCATTTTTCTAGACCATGTGTAGAATATGTGTGTTTCGCCCTATATATTCTGGAATATATTGATGTCTTCATCATTGTTTATTTCCAAAAACAGCTTCATGTGGTCGGCATAGATTAGAATTTTTTTTTTTTGAATTTTCGTTTCAAATGAGAGCCTTGTTGACGGTTAGTTAAATATAGCTATAACCTCCAGGTTTTCAACGAATGTTAGATTGGAACCTGTTTTATCAAAAATGGTTAAGAATTGAGAAGAAGTTAATTAAACTAGCACTAGCCCCTGAAGTAAGTTCCATTACTCTGTGTGAAATAATACCTTTATACAATATACGAACAATAGAAAACTCCTTTGTTCTTGTCCGGTATATAGGGGAAATGGATGTAATGTCGGCCTAAATGCCCCTAATTTTGGCCCTTACATAAATTCAGCAATCGACTAGATTTTCAACAGCGACCAAAAATATCCATTAGTACCGTCCCAATGACGCAATCATCTAGATAAAATTGATAAATAGCAGATTTTTAGCCAAGGGCCCAATCTTAGATCCATAGGCCAACATTAGAGCCATTTACCATATATCAAGAATACATTAATGAAAAAGATTTAGCTACCACTGTACCGAAAGTACGAGCTCCCACCTATGGTCTGGTATTTTTTCATCGGTATATTAAGCCTGATTTATTTCGAAGGGGTTTCTAAAAAGAACACTTCGATTGATGCTGTTGAAATCAATCCATAAAACTGTCCCTAACTACGACGAATTGAATGCTACTAGAAAATTTAGTGTTCCAAAACATGCCTTAGTTTATGTGAAATTAGCCATTGGTGTCCTATCGTATAAAAAGACCATTTTAACTAACTGGTGACATTATACAGTGGAAATCATAAAATATGTTTTTTTGTTTTTTTCTGTTGGATCATAAAAAAAAAACAATGTAAACTAAAAGTTAAGATAAGGAAAAGTGAAATTGAACGAATTTTTTTTTTTAAAGTTTGAAGTTACTTTACAGTACAGTTTTAACAAAAATTGATTGGTCACCATTTCTCAAAATTACACACAATTTCAATTTAAATTCCCTGGTGTATTTATGAATATGTGGTTTACAATATTACCACTCAAGTAGCTGCTACTCTTCGTGATGTTGATATATTCACAGATGAAAATGGTTATACATGATCAGAGCACTAATGAATATAACCTGAACCTTCCACAGAAATTGGTTCATAATTATTATTTTTTAACTAATCCGAACTTTATAACAATTTCAGAAAATAATACATTATATTTCTACATCAATCGAACCAATTAAAAATTTAGACTATTTCCACGTCAAATGGCGAATGTGACGCTATCTTCACCGATTTGTATGGTCACTAATTTGAGCTGCAATTCGGACATTTTTAATCTTGTAAAAAAATGAAAATGGCGTATCCGATATTTTTCTACAAATCATTACTCGAAAACGTCACTTCTAATAGAAATGACATCTGGAACAAAGTTGTACACTTAGATTTTTTTGCCGAGATGGGCACCACCGAGCAGCTCGGCATTTTATTTTGCTGTCCATCTCGGCAAAAAAAAATCTAAGTGTGTAGGACAAAATAATTTCTTTGCAGGAAAAATATAAATGGATAAAATATTTATGTAATTCTAGGAAAAATTCTTTTAGAATCTAATTATTTAGAAACTTCCTTTAGAATCTACTTTTCTCCCAACCCACCGGTAGGTTGGAGCATCATGCCGCTTAAACATAATGACTCCGATGAAATTCCCGAGAAGCCGTATCCAAGTATGCAAGTATGGACAAGAGCGAAGCTGATTTTTATTAGAGCAAAAATTGATGATTGTTTTCCATTTAACTCCACTTAGTATTTTGTATCCATGCATCTATAATGTGCACTTAAGACCTATTGAAATCTAACCCTCTTAATTACTTTTGCCCTAAGGTAAACATTTATATACAAACCATTTGACGTTTATGTACGCAAAATTAATAAATGCTTTTCTTACATTCTGTGTAGAACTGTAATGGTTGTTCTTTCAAAAGCCTGCAGTGAACAAACAGCTATTTCCAGAGTCAATGTATTTTTATAATGTATTGGCGGGAATGTATTCACTTCATAACACTAGCTAAGATTAATTTTACATAATTATTTGAAAAGTCTTCCGATACCACATTACAGAATCTGTTCATGTCATGATTCCTTATAGGTTTGGTTCACTTCTACACAAATCTGTAGGAGAATATTACATTCGCCGGTTGGCTGTATGGAGATTACTATTGGAAAATCACATTTTTTGTTCATTCCCTTCCTTTGTCATATTGCTCTGAGAAAATGATCAATTATTTTATTCTTGTAAGACATTTCTTCAGCTACACCGTTCCAGCTAAACGTCAGATTAAATTATTATTAATTAATTATGAGTTTGGTGATCTTAAGATATAACCAGGAATAGGAAGGTTCTTTGTTCGGCAACACTGTATTATGCAGTTTGACATAGTAACCATCCGCATCTTAGGGAGGAGGTGACGAAACGGGCGAAACCGAAAAATGTCCCCTTTTAAAGGGTGTATTCGTTGGAAATGGCAAATGGAAACAGCTGTTACTTTTTAACAATTATACCAAATGACTTGAAGTTTTCAAGGATAATGGTTTAGAGAGAATTCTTACCTTCAGTCCGTCGTACACAGCTTCATTTAGTAATCGTGCAAATGTTTTTTATCTTAAATTAAACTTTAAGGAACTTTACTTCATTACAGTAGTTGGTATGATAAAAGTTAGCGGAAACGTTTTGTATATATTGTTTTTAACATATATGACGGGAATAGGCTCCATACGAAGAAAGCAATACGGAACCCTTCTTCTTCCTATATGCCATTATTACCTCCCTACTGGGACTTTATACCGGCCCTCAACTTAGTGTTGGTTGAGCACTTCCACAGTTATTAATTCAGAGCTTTCTAACCCTGTACCATTTTTGAATTAGTCGAGACATTTTTCATCTCAAAAAATGCATATACCATACTAAGAAACGAACTCGAATAACTGCAAATCATTGCGTTGTTTTAAAACACGTGCTTGAAGTTCAATTTCAGTTTCTTCGAGTAGTTTAAAATGCCATTTACTACCGCTTGAACTTTGATTTCTTTTTTTTTTAATTTTTAGGTGTTTTTTTTTACTTATAGAGCACTGTTGGTTCTTTAATCGCTTGTAGAAGTCATGCTGAAACGATTGCCAAAGTAGATGATTACTTTAGCTTTCACGAGTGAGCCTGGCTTTTACAAGACATGCAATTTAGAAAAATTCCTAAAAAATCTGAAGAGTTCTGTAATCAGCAACATTGACCTGCTTTTTTATTGTTAAACATGTCCATTTGTCCATGGCACACTTTGCCAAGAAAAAAAAACATGCAACATTAAAAAGATCGCTAATTTCCGTACTACTTACGTCAGAATCATGAATGTCAGTATAGTATTGTGTATTCAACAAATCACTTGTGTCCAATAATTTCTCTTCTCCGAGTACGGAAAAATCTACACTTGATGGCACGCTTAGAGAAGGTTTTGGATTTGACGAAAAAAGGCTTCCATGGAATACTGACGACCGTTTACTAGCAGCGTGCTGCTCTTGATCTGATTGCGCCGATTCTAGCGCTACATTTGACCGCCATACAACTGCACCTTGCAGCACAAAAACAAGCGCGATTACTGTTTTCCGATGGTAAGACGACATTATGTAAATCGCGACTGTTATTATTTCATCAAAGAGAACTGGTTTCACGACACACACGGTACACTTCTGACTACACTATTGTAATTCGATAGTCTATCCACGGGCGCATAATACACGTGGTCGGTTGCTTTCGCTGTTGAGCGATTTTGAAGCGTCTGTAAGGAGCGAAACGTCGTATGAGACTGATTTTTATATACTGAACTGAGCTTGTTTCAGCAGCGTGGAAAGAAATGTAAAAGGCATTTACGCCCAGGTATCAAGGAGTAGTGGAACTTTTGTGCCGATCACACATCGCACATCGCATCGGTTCGGTAATATGACGAGATGGAGTAGACGATGGCAGAAATTCCGAATATGTGTGTGGTTAGCACCGAAAATGCAAGTGGGATGGAATTGTTTCAATCTATTTGCAACTATAATTTATTTATTGTTCATTTATGTCATCTTCATTCAACCGTTTAACAAACAATTTAGTGCTTAGGGTTTGATACATAACTAATATTCAAGAAAACCATGCTACGAGATCTTATTTTAATAAGTTGAGTAATTTGATATGCTCACTTCGATAGCACAATGCCATATTTTAAGTCATAAACTAACACGCGCGACACTACAATGCCTTCTCATGTTAGCCGTTGCAAAAAATGTTAGGTTAACTTATCGATGATTTTTCTATTAATATAAGTCGATTGAATACTACCGTCATCGTGGTTTCATGTTGGATGGTTATATGTTCCTGCAGTTGTTTTTTGCTTCAGAATGGTATGAAAGCAAGAGATTATAACTTATGAACACACTCGATAATTTTGATAAAGTATATTGTGTTACACGTTACCTACACGTTAGAATAACTGTACCTATATTATCCAATATAATCGATATTATAATAGTAGAACACGAATCGAAAATTCTGAGTTTCGCTAGCCACATGCTGTCAGTATTACAGGTAAAATAAACACTTAGAAAAAAATCACGTAACTGTAGGTGCTCTGAGAGTGACATATACGAGCGTCAATTTTGACATAAATTCGAGTCATAACAGACGCGAAATACAGCTCATTCAAACGTACCTTTGGTGGAGCAACGAACTTTTCAGTCTCGGAGCAATTAATATTACATGACATATTTGTTTACGTCTCATCTTTTATGTCAAAGACGGATTCCGTCACGTGTAAAATTAGTTATTTCTAAGTGTATTCAATATCATTCGCCCTAATGACAGTGCACAAATCACATTAACATCACTGATATTCAAAGTGCTGCAGCAAATTTTTCTTATAAATATACGCCAGCTAATCGAGTACCAATCTTTGGAACTTATCAGTAATATGAAAACAATGTAACGGTTTTACGAAAAAGTTGATATATTGAGATAAAAGTAGGATTTTAATTATTCCCTCGTGATCTCCTAATAAACAAATACCATAAACGATCAATAACCCAAATAGTTGAACTTATCCACAAATGTTATGGATGATACCCAAAACACGTCTTTAACTAAAATAATTGTAAGAAATTTATTAGGGTATTCATATTGATAGGATAGTATCGCCTGATTTCATACTTACTACGAATATCAGTGTCGGAAGTTAAATTCAGTGCTGGACCAATATCTTACGCCAATTTACATTGTTCACAGCACGCATTATTGTTTATAACGTTTAGAATGAGAGTAAAATTGATTTTTGTTAGTGAGATTTTCCAGATTGCATCTGTAGCGACCAAATTATATGTCTCAATTTTTATTTAAAATATTAAAATACCTTTATGGATGGAAATTCTTACAACAGATAATCGCAGCTTAAGTTTCATATTAAGGATCTAGTATAAGTTGAACGACTACTTAAATTAGTATTTGATTTGTTTCTCGTTTCCTAGGATTGTTATTTAAAATCTATAAATTCGTTTATGCATAGAGTCAACGATTTTTTTTTGAACATTTTTAAAGTAATTTTCACTATTCATCCGCTTTCCACGGCAGCTGATGAATCGATTTTATTTTCCCCTCTCCCTCCCCTTATTGTACATTACTTAAGTGTGTGCTGGAATTCGGCCATTTTGATGCGCCTTAATTAAAAAATGACGTATTCTATATTTTTCAATAAGTTACACTACAACTTTGTCTCAGACGTTATTTTTTGCTTAGATGAGCCGTTTTTGTGCTCTGATTTATTGAAAAATATGGAATAAACCATTTAAAAAAAATCCAACTGTGAAATGAATTGAAAAATCAGGACTAATAATCAATCGAGATCTCAACTTGCCATGTATATTGATGCCACACAATATGTAATTTTCCTTTTACAGACAACAAAATATAGTATTTAACGTTGAAAACATGATGGAACCCTATTTTATGCAATTAGATTTCCAATCCAGGGGCGGGGCTTGGCAAGTATTTTTATCGTGAATATGTAGAGACTCTGGATGTTAATCTAACTGCATATATAGAAAAACCACACATGTTTTGACCACACTGCCAGTCCGCTTTGAGAAGCGGCCGAGAACGGTTGAGTCTTTTTGCTCCGCTGCGTGCTTTTTTTAGAGCTCGGGCTATCTTTGTGCTGCCGTGTAGTTTTTCGGTGCTCGCATTTGAATAGTTTTGTGTCCCGGACGCGATAATTCGATTTAGAATGATTTGTGCTGATGTTTTTCCCCTGTTGCTTTGGTGCCTGGAGTGCTCTCGCTCCCTTTGTTGACGGTGTGACTCAACCGCGCTGATCTATTATTAGGTTTTTGCGGTGTGCATTGCTTTTGTGCACAGAGTGACATGAAGAAGAAAAGTGATATTTAGTTATTGTGTGGTTGGATTCGCTGGAGGAGGAATTGTTTAAAAATGACTAGAGAAAATTAAGCATCGAGAATGCGCTCCCGGATATATTGATTTGGTGAGTACGTTCCAGTTGAAGATTGTTCTCTCTAAATATCCCTTTTTTGAATACATTTAATTAATCAAACATTATTATATGCTGGGTTTGGGGGGACAGCCTAAGGGTTTCAAAGGATTTGTAGACTGGACAAGGGTTCGTGGATTTGCCAGTCCCTTGTCACGTGTTGATAGACGTACATTTGGTCGTTTGTCTTGCAAAGGTCTTCAATGAAGTTGATTCACCCTGCAGCAACAAACCATCAGGCAGAACTTTACAACCAGTGAAGTATCTGCAGTCATAGGTAATCCTTGCACTGATGGTGGGTTCTATTCACATCACATGTTTTGACCACACTGCCCTCTGTTAACAATTAACGGAACTAACTATATGCGTAATTACCGATGCGTAATTAAGAACAGTAGTGACATCTGAAAGAAAATTAACGCAGAAGCATGGTAACATGATTAATAACTTATGTCATGCCGTTCTTAAGAAGTTAACTTCAAAAAAACAAATAAAAACCTATTCCTGAGTTTTATCTTCTTATAAATGTTGGACAGTGAGACAAAGCAGGTTTTTCGCACTTTTTGTAGTATCCATGGAAAAGGCTGCAAAGATAACACAACAATTTCTAAAACCTTGAAATAGTCAAAAATATACTGTAACGATGCGTTCAAAAACACGAAATTTCACTGTCCAAAACCTCATTAGGGGTTCGTGAGCATTCCTGACATTGCTTAAAATTATGATAGCATCAGATTGTGGGGTTGCTAGTGTAATAGGATGCTTTGTTGATTGTTCATTAACTCTTTATTGCTTAAAACTTATGAATATTTTAGGTGGACAAAAAGGCGAACTAAGAGGTGGACGCCTGAGCTTTTCCACATTTATATCGCTGAGAAGCAACTGTAAACTCTAGAGGAAATTTATATCTGTAACTGAAACCAGTTCGATTTTGTTTGCTAACCTGGTTAAAATGTCATATTTAATTATCTTAAAGATAAATCGTCCAGCTCAAACCTTTGTAGGGGTAAGAGGTGGAACCATCATCATCATAAGCAAAATCTAATATGATACCAATCCATTAATTTTTTTATTTTTTTTTTATTTTTAAGTTTTTAAAGAAACACATGACATACATAATCGTAGAACTTTTTTTTATGAACCGCTATTTATTTTTTTTGAATAAATGATGTATAAGAGTGTACAATGCTGAATAAAACAGGATGTCGAATTATGTGCTGAAAAAGCTCATTGAGATCGATAGATGCGCCTTTATTCCGCTGTTAGCTCTGATATGATTAATTTACTTATTAAAAGCTTAATAAACGTTGACTGTCTTCCTGATTCAGAACCAGAAGTTTGATCCAATAACAAACTGAATAAGTGTAATTAGCACATACATTTACGCTTTAATTCGACTGATTTCAATTGATTTAATAAAATGCTTTATTAGAAGTCTTATAAATGTTTTCTAGCTCTATTATTGGATTTCATTGCACTGCTTTACAATATTGCTTTATAAAGGTGAATACAGTAAGCAAAATAGCTCGTATACCACAATGTGTCCATGTTTTAATTGCATGCTTTGTAAATGCTTTATAAACGACGTATTAGATTCATTATTCCACAACACTGGTTCAGTTTAACAAGACAAAATCAGTAGAGTAGTGGTTACCGTTTCCGCTTCCCAGGTAGAAGGTCGTGAGTTCAATCCCAAGCTCAACCCTTTTTTTATTTGTGTTTCAAATCGTTATCATCGATCACTCACGACAACAAAATTCATGATATCCCAGCATCCTTTCCTTGGAAATTGGAGAGGTGAAGAGGTAGAATTGGTCTCATGTAAAACAACGATGAATGAATTAATGATTCCTACTGCCAAGGTTACCAAAACTACAGATAAATGTGTTTTTCTACAGATTTTTCAGAGTTTTTAAAACCAAAATTCTGTATTCACAGATTACAGATTGCTTTGATTTCAACAGATTTTACAGATTTTTTTAAAATATGATCAATTAATTAAACTTGAGATGTTTAATAACAAGACATTAGTTTCACTTCAGTGTAATTTTATCATCACAAACTTTTATATCTATGCATGTTTTTTTGCGGAATGAAAAAGGAGAATGAGAACTGTCAGAGGTATTCTTTTTTTTTGCCAATTTATGATACATATATTTTTTATCTATTTTTTGTCTCTGTCAGAAAAATTGCTCAATCACTTTTCAAATAACATTTTTTAAGGATTCAATTAATAAATTATCAACACAGATATCATCACAGATTTTCTGGACAAAAACTAAGATGAAAAGATTTTTTTTGGACAAAAACACAGATTTCCTTTTGGCAACCCTGCCCACTGCACCTTGGGACGATAGGGAGTGTTAGCAGGTATTCAGTTTCAAGAAAGCTTTTATTGAATACTGAGCAGCCCATATGATGTGTTCTAGAGTATCTCAGATGGCAAGGCAAGCGGCTGGTGATCGGAAGGTACTTGGTTTGAAACCTATGCAACGGACATTTGTACATTTATGTATGTAATACATTTTCAAGTATCTGTGTTGTGCGGCTTCGTCAGAAATACTGAAAACAACACTATTGAAAAGACAACTCTGTCTGTTTTTTAACCGTTCTTTATTTTCGGGTTAATTTTCCTGCAGTTGAATAATCGTTTAATAAATGTATAATAGTGTTTAATTTAAATGTTACTTCACATAATAATCAAGTATATACATCATCTAAGGAACCAAAGATGTCCAATAAACGCTGAATAATAAAACATTTGATCGACTAAAAGCTCTGCTACAACTCATGGAAGTTAAATAAAAGCTTCTCGACATACTTTAACCAAACACCATGTTGTGGTCGAATAAATTCTCCAGATTTGTGTGAACAAAGCCTGAACAGAAGTAATTATTAAAAATTGTACAAGTATTATTAAACATACAGTTGAATAAAATCGTCAATATGTCGTTTCTTCAATAGGCGATTCTTTGTTGGGTTGGCATTGTTGTTCTGTATGCGAAAATTCCCTGTTTTATTCATCGCTATTCCTTCTCTTTTGAATATGAGATGCTTCAGCAAAAGTTGATGGAATCTCATTGAACACACTGGCAGGGTTGCCAAAAGGAAATCTTTGTTTTTGTGTCCAGAAAATCTGTGATGATATCTGTGTTGATAATTTATTAATTGAATCCTTAAAAAATGTTATTTGAAAAGTGATTGAGCAATTTTTCTGACAGAGACAAAAAATAGATAAAAAATATATGTATCATAAATTAGCAAAAAAAAGAATACCTTTGACAGTTCTCCTTCTCCTTTTTCATTCCACAAAAAAACATGCACAGATATAAAAATTGGTGATGATAAAATTACACTGAAGGGAAAATAATGTCTTGTTATTAAACATCTCAAGTTTAATTAATTAAATGTTTGATCATATTTTAAAAAATCTGTAAAATCTGTTGAAATCAAAGCAATCTGTAATCTGTGAATACAGAATTTTGGTTTTAAAAACTCCGAAAAATCTGTAGAAAAACAGATTTATCTGTAGTTTTGGTAACCTTGCACACTGGTACTTGCTGTTTTTTTGCCCCGATGGCGCGTGATTCGGCGACTGTTCGGGGACAGTGGAATGCCGTAGAATGTTGTTTACCAACGGGTGAATGAGGAACTTTTTGGCTCCTTCTCCCTAAATGAACGATGTATCCCTGATGATCACAAACATTTCGCAAACGTTCATGTACAACAGAAAAATTAGCGTCCGCGATCTCTAAAAAACGAGTGTTTTTGCGTGGCTCTGGAACTGGCGGTGCAAATGGTATCGAAATCTCGGTCCCCACTGGAAAACATTCACAGAGGATCCTCGTTGAGTTGAAACGAGGATCCTTTTGAGATACTTCAAACGTTCGGGAGAGTTTTAGACATTGCTCCCTTGGCTGTCATCGACGATGTTTTCTCATTACGCCTTTTTTGATGATGCAATTTGAGCTGAAGCTGATTCAGTTGATTTCAGAAATTCAGGATTTGCTGCTGAGATTCCTTTTCACTCCGATTTAATTTATTCTGATGCTCCATTACAAGCTTGCTACGACGATTGAGCGTCTTGTTGGGAAAGGTGATTCGTTGAAGAGTAAGAGTCTAAAGATGGCCATGACGGTGACTGATATTCCAACTAACATTTTCAGCTTTATAAGCCAACTTTTCCAGCATTGTGCTGTAAAGTAGTTGAAACAATCTGCAGATACAGCTTCAAGCAGAAGCTAGCAAAATAGGTTTGGAGAGCGTTTACTCAACTTTTTCACAACCATTATTCAATTTGTCAGTCGTACTGAATAACAGCAGCCAATAAACGCTCATACCACTTCTATGCAAACATTAATCAACTTTCAACTTGTAGCTGCAAAACAAAGCTAATAAAGTAAATATATTACTCATTAGATGGCTTCTACACAACCAACCACTCTTGCTGAATAACCTGAACATCAAAAGTGCTTGTTCAACAACTAAACAACCTGTACTCAGCTAATAAACTGTGTTAGCGCTACTTTGGAAGCTATTTTACAGTCAACTAGGTTTACTTTTAGACTTGTGCAGTTTTACAGCTTTTACTCTGCTTCTATACAAAGCTGAATTAACTAGTCTAGAAAAGTTATTCGTGTGCACTATTATAAAGTCTCTACTCAGCAATGTTGTTGTAGAAGGGCGTGTATTTTTGTTTACGTCAGTTCAAAGTGTTGGCGTAGTTAGTAACAAGGTTCGTCAATGCGATCGTCTCGTGTTCGATTCCAGGTTCCGGTACAAATGTATTAGGTGGTGTGCTTAAATATAACTAATTTACTAACTAATATTACGAATCGAATAACATAAATTTGATAAATTCCTCAAAAAAAAATGCGTAAACAATATTTAACCAGGCGTCAAGAGAAAACTATGTGGTGATTATTGAATAATCGGGTAAAGGTTGAGTAAGCGCTTTTCAATTTCACACACAACTAAACAGCAGGATAACAGCTGTATAGAAGCAACAAGAGTTTGTCCCAACCGCCATAACAGCCATAAGTATCTGACTAAGTTCGCTAGATTTGCTTATAGAGAGGTTGAGTAAACAATTGAACGAATTAACTGTAGTGCAGATTCGAAATACCGTATGCTGCACACTTAGAAATAACTAATTTTACACGTGATGGAATTAAGAGCTCCGAGACTGGAAAGTTCGTTGTTCGACGAAAAATACGTTTGATTGAGCTTTATTTCGCGTCTGTTATGACTCAAATTTATGTCAAAATTGACGCTCGTATATGTCACTCTCAAAGCACCTAAATTTACATGATTTTTTCTAAGTGTGTAGAATAAACTTTAGGTTAGATACGCTAACCTTTCTCTATGGTCCGAAAGCTTACAATAGCTGAATTATGAACTTACGAATAGTAAATCTAATAGTATTAACTAATTTTAATTAATCCACGTTGATAGAGATTTTGGAAAGCACTTTATCATTTTTTGTTTGTTTTGCTTATGACAGGTATTTATGTTCACTAATGCGTTCTTTGAATACATTGTACTATTTTTCAGACTGGAAAAGCACCTTATTATATGGGAGCACAAACTTTGCCAAGGGGAATGTATTCCGACAGAAGCAAGAGCACAACCGGTAAGTATCAACTACAATATAAAATTTATCAGATATATGTTTAAACGAAAGAGGTTAAGGTAAAATATGTTAATCTTTTCGGGTAAAATTTCAAAAATAGTTCTAACATGTTCCTACAATTATGTACTACAAAGTTTGTTAATTTTTAAAATTTTATTTTTATAATTCTGAAAAGTTAGCATTTAATAAACTAGGATCCTATTATTTAAGGGGGGAAATACAAGTAACACGTCAAAAACTCGACGATTTTCGGAATTTTTTTGTGAGCAAATTAAACAACGCAAACTTTTGGAGTTTTTTGCATTAAATTGCTTAAATCTTCCTCTACATTTGAGATTTTTTTCATTGGTGTGTAACCTCTGTGGCTTCTTGGGGTCACATCGGAAGGAGGTCGCCTCCGGTGGGGATTGGTAATTGGCGGGCGTTCTAGAGACCTGAAAAATGGACAAAACATACTTTTATCAATTGGACCTTTTCAGAAAAATTTTTTGTTCTATAATAAAACCAAAAAAAAAACGATTTAAAAATTTAGAAAAAAATATTTAAAAAAAAAAAAGTTGATTTTTCACTGTTTTTTTCCACTTTTGGCAGACCTGAAAATTATTTATTGTTAATTTTTTCATGATATCAGTGGTTCATATAGAGTAAAAATCTATTTCCTTTAAGATGCGCCAGGTTTCAAATTATTTGGATGAGAACTTTTTGAGTTATCTTTCCCGCCAATTTGGAAAACACCGTTTCGAGAAAATGCGTTTAAAGTTTTGGGTTGTGCAAAAACATGGTTTCTGGAACTTACGGTTAATCGGCGATACCGGCGCCATTGATCACTCCTTCCTCGTGCTCGTAGCATTTTTCAAAAAAATTTAAAGTAAAATATAAAAAATCTATAAAAAAAATTTTACTTGTATTTCCCCCCTTAAACTAGATGAGTGACTCAGGTTCAATATCTAGGATACAGGTGTGGAATCGTCTCACTGACATCGGTAATTGGCACTCAGTTGTGGAACTGAGACCGACGGAAATTTAACAAGGATATAAACAAATATGTTTCCCCTGTAATTTTTATTAGAAGGAACGGTTTTGTGCATTTTATTTTTTTTTATTACCGTGATTTTTAGCCGTAGGCTAGTTCATCACGGCAGGTTTTGTGCATCGATTTGATTGAAAATATTGAACTTGCCATTTTTAATACTGCGGCAACACTCAAAATAGCTGCACTCAAGCACAAATTTGGATGATGTCATTTAACTAACAATTATACATATTTTCAAGGAAATTGGTCGAATAGATTCGTCATTGCTTTTCTACTATGTCTGCATGTGCTCTTTGAATACACTCTTATTTTAAAGTACCTATTAAAGGGTGAAATTGAAACGGTGTATACCATTTAATGATTAATTTTTTTCTCTCATTCATTAGTGTTTTGATGATGATGGTCATTGTTGTAGTTGATTTTTTTTCCTAGGTTCTCGTTGTTTTCTTTATAAATATAGTGTGTTGCTAACGCCATTCCACTATGCATAATATATTTGGGTGGAAAGTTGAAATATCTCTACACAATAATATTATTTTACCGATATCTGTGAAATTTTACCGAAATCTCAACAGCTGAACGTTCGGTAAACAGTTCGGTGATTTTTCACAGATATTCGTTGAAAAATTACAGGAAAACAGGAGATCACGAAACGACTTGAAATGACGAACTGAAAGTATGACTGATTAGCTAAAGAAGATAAAGCTCGGAAACCCTATATTTACCTTCTACCGCAAAAATGGCGCCTTATTTTAACTATGGTTATATTAGGTTAGCTTTATTAAGGCTTCAACTATGATTATATCAGATAGTTTTTAAATTAGCATTTTTAAAATTAATTACCGTTACTCTTTACAATAGCAGGTTTTAGTTTTTCTGGTTATCCCACTGTTAAATGACTGCATTTATGAGTGCTACTTTACATCATTGCCAATGAATTATAACGCATGTAGGCTGACACCTGGGATTGAAATTAAAAACACATAGACAAAGCGTACACGCGAATGTGTTCAAGCTAAGAGCAAGTTGCTAGCAAGGGGTCTCTCGTAAAAAAGCGTTTTGGAATTACCTTCACTAATGATCTCGCAGATGGTTGATCTGATTTTGTTATTAAATGTTATCGATCTATTGGGCTAGCACACGTAACATCTCTGCGCAATTTTCGTGCAAGCTCTGGTGCTTGCAAATTGTTTGCTTCAAAATAGTAATGTAAGCGTATCGAATCACAAATTAGTCACGCGTCTCATTTCTTTTTACTTTGTTGTACATGCGGTTGTGTCAACCATTTAGGATCGAATGTATTTTTTTATATTGGCTTTTTTAGCAACGCATTAAGTTGTCTGATGGTCTTATAACAAAGTTAATGATTTTATACAGGTATATGGAATGTAATTTAGACAAAAGTTTCTATTTTGGGCCCAAAAAGTTAGGTGTTTAGGTAAGTTTTCTTCAGTAATAATTTAAACTAGGTATAGTTTGTAACAATTTTCTAAGAAATAATATTTATATTAATTTATCAATTTACAAATATTAGGCTTTAAAAAATAAGACCAAAATGCACACACACATCCAAGAATTTATCTCACTTTGGTCGCCCGACATCACGATTTTGTGTATCAATAGTCATCTGGTTCATTACACCAGACTGGTTAGTGATCGCTTGCGGAAGGTCAATCTTGATTGATTTGATGATGCTGGAACGAAAGGGCTGAGAGCCTAAGCTGTCATTTGTGTTGTTAACCTTCTCATTTTGATAGATACCAAACATGCATTGAAAAGATTTACGGCCAGGGATTTCTATTGGAAGATAACTGGTTATATGTCGGATCAATTTTGGATTCTAGAAAATATTTATTGCCCCGAAAATACAAGAGAATATAGTGTGTACATAAATTGTGTTTAAGTAAATATTACGCAGTACACTAACAACTTGTAACTTGGGGTGACAAGTATCGATTAATTCCAATCATGTTTGATAAAATGCAATCAAGCGCTTAAATGCTTTTTAATACTCAAACACATTTTATAAAAATTAGCAACTGCTACAATAGTGTTTTAATTCGCAACCAGTGGTTGGCAATACAATGGTTTCAGTAACCAGAAATACCGCAGTGTGTGATAATAATTGCGACAATTTTTTATGTAAAATTGTTCTGCATAGGTTCAAAAAGATGAAATTTGAGTCTCATTAAAAACCGAGAAGTATACTGTAAACTGAAGCTTAGCGATGACACAGGTTTCCTCAAGGTGGCGACCATTGCACTGCAGTATTGCGAACGGTAGAAAAGCGTGCGTTGAATTGGTTCACCCTTGAAAACATGATCATAGTGGTATTCTGTCATCAGAACTTATTATTATTTTTATACTGTCAATTTTGTGGTTATTAACCCGCAATAACCTTGACAGGGTGTCGAATAAATGATAAAAATTACTTGTCTGATTTTCCAGTGGTTTTTCTGAAGAAAAAAAATCAAGTCGGAATTGGACTGATACAAATAAAGGAAATAATAAAATAAATTAAGCTTACTGATTGAAGTTTACTACGTGAATGTAGATTTTTCGTACTATAGTTTACTGGAAAATTATTGCTTCATTATTACTTTGTGTTTGTGGATTATTAAGATCGTCATCCATTGAAAGACACTATTTTATGTATAGTTGTGTCAGTTTCTTATTTTGGTTCGTATAATAGAGGGAACAATTTTTTTTCTTATGGATTCTTCTATTTTAATAACACTCGCAATCATACGTGCAATAAAAATTGATTCGTTTCCGAATATGGGTCATTCCGCGCCAAGTGTCTGAGGCAAGTGAAATTGACCTTTTACGATTTGGACCAATTTTAGAGGAGATGTTTATTTTGGTCTAACTTTTATAAATCCAATTTTTTGTGCAGATAGATGGTCCATGCATTATCTATTTTCCAGAATTTTCAAGAAAGCACTATTTTATTTTATTTATATCTCCGGAACAAATATTTGCGGCCTGGGATTTCTATTAAATAATAACTGTAAGTCGGATCAAGTTTGGAGTCTAGACAATATTTATTGCCCCGGAAATACAAGACAATAGGGCCATTGCTCTAATTTCCGTCCTACTAAGCACATCCCGCACTTAAACTCTTTTTTTGAAAGGGTTTGAACAAAACATGGATTTTTTCATCAAAGATTACTTTTAAATTTATTCACCTTGCCATACGTACCGTTGGATTTTATAAAGAGTCAAACCATTGTGAGATATTATTAAAAAATATTTTTTACACCATGTGTATTTCACTGTAGAATATATTGATGTCTTCATTATTTCTTATTTCCAAAAAGAGGTTCATGTTGTCGGCATAGATTAGCAATTTTATTTGTTTGAGAATGAAGGAAATTCCGTTTACATACAGAATAAGGTTAATTAAATATAATTAAAGCCATTTCAGGAGTCCTGGCTATATTCCATTTTTTTTTTTTCAATTTAAAGAGTAGCATTGATATGTCAATGCAGTCAAATGCCTTGCTAAAGTCTGTATAGAATACAGATATGAATAGTCTAAAAATTCAAATAAAATTTTGTTAAGATCGAACGTCCTTTAAAGAAGCCGTGTTGCATGTCATTAATTCTATTTTTGGTTGGAAGAAATAATTTTTCATGTGTTTTTCATGTGATTTGATGTGCTGCATGATGGGTTGAATGTTGAAAACTTTTTCAAAATAAACCTGACCTTCGCACAATGGTAACCAACAAATTCTATAGTATTGATGAAAAAGAATACGATCTCAACTTCCTAAAAAAAAAGCATTTTGAAAGCGATCAGAAAAACTTCGATACTACAGTCTACTATGATACTACGGACACAGTCATACTGTTTGTAGATGCAGTGATCAACAGTGGTCATTTTAAGCGTCCAGAACCGACTTGGCCATATCCAGACATGTTCCGGGAACCCCCGGTGAAGTAACCAGTTTTTAACTTGTGTCAAAAGTTAAAATTAGTGGGAATCGAACCTAGCCACCTCCAGCATGGTCTTGCTTTGTTGCTGTGCCTTTACCGACTGAGCTAAGGGAGGACCCATTTATTAGTTTTACAACAAGATTTTTTGGAAGTTTGCTGTTTGATATTTCTTCTTGGCTTAATAACATTATTATGACTGAATAGCCTTCTAATCCCACCAAATATTGTTGCAAGACTTAAAACGGTCTAAACGGTGCTCAGTTGCTAGCCCAATTACTCTCATAAACAAAATTTGGCCGTATATTAATGCCATAGTTTTTTAGTTAAAGTAAATACCAGTGCTATTAAATATTAACTTTACTCAATAATCTTTAACACACTAAGAACTTCAATATGCATGCTGTTTTTAGATCAAAATAATGATTTAAAGCGTATATTTATATAAAACATTTATCAAGGAGTTGAAAAACCTTTAAAAATAAAAAAATGTAGGATTGTTTAATTGATTTAATATGTTAGTTGTAGATTATTAGAGTATATTCTTATAATTGATTTAATTGAACTCTAAGCCATAAGGCAGTGACAAATGAAAAGGTGCTGCCTTAATTCGCTCATAAACTGATTTGTTTTTGTGTCATTCTTGACTTGTTCAGGGATGAGATTTGAAGTTAAACTGATTAATACAAACAAATAATAAATACACATTGTCTCGATTTCGTTTTGTTCATATTTCTGGTATGCTTTACTTTCAGGACTGCCTACTAAACCAATACGGTCGTATGGATCGAAAGGCAGTATCGGTCCATCATCGTTTCCATATTCCCCAGATCAGCTCTATAGCATTCCAGGTAATTTACATGTTATCTAAACGTTACCATTTATATCATAGACTAGAGGCAAGGTTTACCAGAAATCTGTATTTATATAAATATATATTTATTCGAGCTCCCTTATTTCCTTTTCTGAGCTCATATAACTTTCATGTTAATCATGGCATACACAGTTTGAAAAAAGTGTAAATTTATGTTTAATATGATGTACATAAAAGGAGCGTCACGTATCATCTAAGTTTGCACTATAAATCGTGTAACGTTCTGAGACATTTCCTGAAATGTTGCAAATATTGTATACAAAAGCCCATATTTGTAAACAACATTGCTTACAAGTTGCTTGTTTGCGTGAAATGAAATAAAAGTTTATGTGAATGAATGTTTACATCACAATTATAATTCAGAATTGTTTGCTTCTAATGCACAATTAGCTAGGATTTTTTTGTAATGTAGAAGTCAGGACAAAACTAATACTCCGAAACACAGCATTTCCGTTACTTCGTGCCGTGGGTGAAGTTTCTCATTATATAGGGGAAATGGATGTAATGTCGGCCTTAAATGCCCCTAATTTGGGCCCATACATACATTCAGCAATCGTCTAAATTTTCAATAGCGACTAAAAATGTCCATTAGTACCGTCCTAATGACGCGTTAGACGTCTAGATAAAATTGATAAAAATCAGATTTTCAGCGATGGGCTCAATCTTAGATTCAAAGGCCAACATTAGAGCCGTTGTCCCTAGTACCCGTTAGATTTTGGCACGATTTTTTTTATATCTAGTTAATTTATTTGAAAGGCTCAGTCGCATTAGCTTTACGGAGCCGATAGTTAATTGTTTCGTAACTTAATTTACTTTTCTAGGTCTAGTAGAAGTTGGACCGAATCCTCGAGGTATTTTTTAGGTTTAAGCTGTAACTCGTCGAAGGATAGGATCAGGGGAGGAGCAATTATGTGGGTTTTGGTTGTCGCCAGTACAGAGATTTTGGCAAAAAAAACCGTTCATTTTTTAAAACGGTTCGGATATGGCACTGTCCTAAAATTGATCGGTAAAAAAGATTTTAAATAAATTTTACTTATTAAGGACATAATTTTTTCTAACAGATTAATTACACTATGCGACAAACTGGAATTTCTTTTGCTAGGACAGAAAAATCTAACCATGTTTGACTAAATAGTAGTACCTTTAGTTATGCATTGGCCCCTTTTATGCATTGGCTCCATGTATTCACAATTTTGGTCATAGGGAATTAATTGTTCTGCAAGGACCATTTGTAGAAAATGACTCAAGGATCCTCATCCAACTCAAATCTATGCGCCTTTTTCAAGACCGCCCATAATTATAATATAGGCATCTATAACTGCATGTACATGCAATTAATTTCCCTCTAAGTGATACTGGGGATAACTTTTCTGCAATCAGCCTGCCTAAATCTTATAAATACTAATAGAGAAGAGCGTCATTCATAAAGTGACATCGGTTCGTTTTCGCCAACAAGAGTTGAACCCAGACTCTAACCTTGATAAACCAAACCCCTAACCACTGTTTTATCCGACCTTGCTATTTTCACTATCATCTTTCACAAATATGAATGGGGAAACATTAATTTAAGAGAATAAGAATCTCCAACAGTTACCGGCAGACAGGGTAATTTGAAAGGTGACTGTTATTTGCTATAGTCAGATTTGATATGTAGGGCAGAATCCATAGAGAACCTCTAATTTTCCGGATGTTCATAGCACATCCCTGAAAATCCTGAAATTTTCCTGATGTTCTCGGAATTTTTTTTTGAATTTCTCTGGACTTCCTCGAAGATATGTGGACTTTATCTAAGTTCTCTTGACTTCCCTGAAGTCCATAGTACTTTTCTCAAGTCTTTGAAACTTCTAAAAGTTCCCACAAATTTCCACAAATGGATGAAACTGTTTTGAAGTTTCACGAAATTTATCATAACATATTTAGACATTCGTGAACTTTTCTGGACTTTCCGAGAGTTCCACAATAATTCTGGATTTATTGGAGGTTGCTGCAGTTTTAACAATTTCTCAAAACTTCTTAAAAATGTCTGAAGCTAATGGAAAAGCCCTCAGGTTCTCTGGTGTTACTTGAAGTTTTCGGAACATCTCTAGAATTATTGGATTTCTTATGAAGCTCATAGTACTACATAGTAATACCCTTAACTTAATAGAAGAGTTCCAAGAACCCCTACGATTCATTGATAGGCTCTAAACATCGGTGGAGCTCTCATAAACTTTATGTAGTTTTCAAATATCTGAAGTTTTATTTACTACAGTAACCTCTTCATACTGCTATTTCTCGGCAGCCCTTCAACGAATTGAGCTGATTTTCTGTAGATAGGGGAAATGGATTTAATGTCGGCCTAAACGCCCCTGATTTGGGCCCATACATAAATTCAGCAATCGACTAAATTTTATACATATAAGGGAAATGTATGTAATGTCGGTCTAAGCGTCCCTAATTTGGGCCCATACATAAATTCAGCAATCGACTAAATTTTCAAAAGCAACCAAAAATATCCATTAGTACCGTCCCAATGACGCGTTCATCTAGATACAATTGATAAATAGCAGATTTTTAGCGATGGGCCCAATCTTAGATCCATAGGCCAACATTAGAGCCATTTCCCCTACATAATATATATAAAAATATATATAAAATCAGCTTTATTGGTTGACGGAAAGTCAAGAAACAGCGGTGCGTGGATAGTACCACCCACCACATATATGGAGGGGCTACTGTACTTGACAATTGGGGAGGATGTCTAAATTTCTCGCTATTTTCCTGAAATTAATGGAACTGCAATCATCTTCGCTGCAGTTTCCCCATCTCTCGAAACTGCCCTGAAGCTTACGAAATTTAATTTCTCTGAATTTAAAAAAAACTTTTTTGTAGAGATTTTTAGCCGTAAATTACTCTAAATGTCCCTGAAGTTCTCGGATCTCCTCTTTAATTTTCTGAACATCTATGAAGTTCCCGAAGTTTTCCTGATGTTCTCCGGACACCTGTGTTCTCGAAGTTCTCCTAAAAATTCATAACATTCCTGGAGCTCTTTGAACTTTTCTGAAGTTTACGGAACTTCTTTAAGTTTCCCTTAATTTTCCTTATATTAAATCGAAAGAATATAAGTAGATTTTCAATGAAGTTCTCTAAATTATCCTGGAAATCATGGAACTGCATATAGCGGCGCCAGTGATGTAGTGGTAATCGCGATTGTCTCTCACCTCAAAGGGAATAGGTTCAATCTCAGTTGGTGCCGCCTGAGGCATACAATCGCTGATGCCGATGGTCCCCGGTCTATGAGTTGATGGGTCAATATGTAGGGTTCAAGTGTGGGGGCTGCCTCCCTGGCGTCGGTAGCATTGGCACTCAGTACGGAAAAGAAGATATTGAACATCTTGTTCTTCTTCTCGATAAGTCTAGACTTTCCTGATGTTTAACGTGTTTACCTGATGTTATCCGAACTGCCCGAACTTCATTATAGTTCTTCCCAGAATTACTCAGTATTTTATAAAAGTTCCCACAATTCTCCTAAAGTTATTTGAATGGATATGCAGTTTCTGGATCTTCCTGGAAGCTCCCGTAATTTTTTGAAGTTTTGAAATCGGCTTTGAAGCTCGTGTAACTTTCCCGAACTTCTCTGGACTTCCCTACCGTTGTTGTTGCTTGCCTGAAGTTAACTATTTTTTTCTAATGTTCCGGTAATTATCTTGATATTCATATAACTTCCTTGAAGACCTTGCAATGTCCCAACATTGTCCAGAACATTCCTGAAACTCTCCGAATATCCTACAATTCCTTGTTAATGGGACTGCTCTGAAGTTCTCTGAAAATCGACGAAGTACTCGGAACTTCCTTGAATATAATGAAATAACCTAAATTTATTTTTTTATTTTTTATTTTTTATGTTTTGTGCTCATATAAGAATTACAAGACGCTCACAAGACGCGATGCGAGACAAGACACAACATTTATCGTTCTTACAACGTTAAAATAAATTAAAATTAACCTTTCTGTCGACGGATTTGAATGGGTACAACAACAACTCGATCATAGATGGTTTGAAGTTATATGAGGGGCTTGGTGGCCTTAGTGCAACCGTTTTTGCTCACTGAGCAGAACTTTATGGATTTAATATCAGCTCCTTCATATTCAAGATTCGTTATTCACTTTATTATTAATATGAATACTTCACATTAATTTAGTGAACTGTTTCCCAGAACAAGCCCTACTGCAAAACCAACATTTTTATCTAAGATTCTTATTTGAACTAAAATTTGCCTAAAAAATTTGAAGAAAATACTAGAATTAACTAATGTTGCATGAAAATTTCACTTGCAATTGAAATGAAAAATATAAGCGATCAAAAAGTGTTCAAGCTTGAGCTTGAGCTTGAGCTTGAGCTTGATCGACCGCCCACGGTTGCTACTCTGTTATTGCCAGATCAGCTGTAATTACACAGAGAACCAATAGACGATGCTTGGGACTAGCAATCATCCTCAATGTGTAAAAACTGGTGATCTTAAATTAGGCAATACCAGCGCCGGCCGCGCCCGAACACAGGTCAAGAAAGGAATGGGAAGGATTGCGTTGACATGACACTCGCTTTGATGGAAGCCGAGAACACCTCTGCACTTCCACGAGGAATCACTGGGATCGTGGATAAGAGGGTTGGGTTTGCAGTAGGGTTCGTTTTGGTAAACGATAAACTTGTGCTTAACTTATCTCCATTCCACTCAGCTACTCGTAATTTCTTGTGATATAGTGGGTGGAATATTATTATATGAGACAATTCAATGCAGACGTCTTTCCAAATTTGGCAGATCGACAGGTAATCGGTGAGTTACCACGATAGTTGCTATTCAACAACTCGACAACGTCCCATCGTCAACGCCTGCTATGAGAATTTCCCATTGCAGACGCCAACGAAACGACGTCATTGAGCTATCGATCAACTACCCTGGTTATCGCCTGGTACCTTATAGCACGATGCTAGGAGGCGAACTGGAAAAATAGATGAGCTACCTCCCCCTATAAGCGATCAAAAAGTGTTCGAATCATAAAAAAACTGAACAGTTAAAAAACATTTAACAAAAATAAGCTTGTAAAAAACTTCTGTGAAATTTTTAAACCGGACACACACGTTAAATTTAGTTAAAAAAAAGAAAATCATCAAAATTAGGATTTCTTTTAGATTGTAACTTTTTGTCACAACATGTTTGTCATTTCTGCACAAGAAACAATTCTTAATGAATTTTTAATTATTTGTTTTACAATTTACAAAAACTATGTTTTCAAACAAATTTGAACAATTTAATTCAATTTGAGATTTTCACTTTAATTCAATTTGAAAGTTTCACAAAAGCTAGCATTTTTATTAAGCTGTTTAATGAAAATATAAAAAAATCTTACCCGTTATGTATGCGACGGGGTTCCCGCGTACCCAGCTCCCATTTGAATATCACGGTGTAGAAAAATCAAAAACATCAACTTACACAGAGAAAAAAATACGCTAAATTTAAGTTCTTATTACTTAATTTTGGGTAATTTTGAGTTTTACATCCCAGTCTCACTTTTTGTTGTTGTCAAAAACGGAACTAGAGATTCGATTTTCTCATGACTATCGTTCAATAACCTACTAGTCAGTATATGAGATATTCTCAAATTTGTGTCAATTGAACTTAATTTTGGGTAGAAAACACTCACGAGTAAGTAATTATTTTTGCTGTAGTCAAATGTAAACTACTATAAGCGTGAAGTAATGAAATTGGGTTGTTAGCGGAATGCTTAAATAAAACTGCAAAAAAAAGGTTATCTTCCATTTAATTCCACTTAATTAATTTTGGTATCCATGACAGATACGTATTTCGACTACAATGTGCAGTCTTCATCAGGCTTTACCAAAGTTTCGTATAATGATTTGGGCTGCTATGATGCTTCCACTCAGAAAGCTAGACGCATCAGTATTAGGAACCTCCAGCAAGCGCCTAAAATTCATTCCATTTGAAATCGAATGAAATCTTTAATTCGAATTGTATCGTTGGACAAGTCCGTAAGGTGCGCGTCTACTGATCACAAGGATGTCATCTATTAAAAAATATCTTGAGACAAAAATCCATACAAGATATTCTGATGAATTCCCTTCGATTTAATCGCTCAGTTCTCCATTTATCCATTCTTCTGTTTGTGCTTTTCAAGAATTGAGTATTGATTAGCACTGAAACCAGTGGTCCCGGTGATGTAGTGGTAAGCGTGATTTCCTCTCACTCCAAAGGGCCTGGGTTTAATCCTAGTCAGCACCATCGGGATTTTCTGAAGCTTAAAAACTCTGATCACGCCTTCTTTCGGAAGGGAAGTAAAGCCGTTGGCTCCCGGTCCATGAGTTGATGGGTCGATAGGGTCCATAGCATTGGTACTCAGTATGGAAAACAAGGTCGACGGAACACAAATCAAGGAAAAAAAAGCACTGAAGCCATACCTACTTACGTTTCGATTTCTTAAAGTATAAATCGATTTATTTATATTTGATTTTTAGCACACGACTTTATTATTAATCTATTTATTGATGTTTGAAGAATCTTAATTATAGTGAAATAAAAAATGACAAATGATGAATGAAATTCAAATAATCATGTCAAGTAAAACCAAAACTATGTACCATGACGGAAAGTATGTTCGACTACATTGTGCGTTATTTATAACTGTATTTTATGTTATTGGTAAAGCTCGCATGGGTCAGTGTTAGGGAACAGACATCTGTTTTGTTTTATTAGTGTGTAGTCATAGTTCAAAAATTTAAAATTAAAAAAAAAATTAGATGAGTCTAAACTTAGCTATTTTAACTTAAAAGTCCAACTAACACTTTCTTAAAAACGTTTATTACCGCAGATGGATACATGAGTTCTCCAGAACGAAGTGGTTCCAACAGAGCATATGAAGAACCATATTACAGTCAGTATAGTACTCGTGGAAATGCAGTTACGTCAATTATAGATGAAGAACAAGGGTATGTAGTTATAAGGCAATACGTCTCTAAATAATATATATTTATTACTTTTTTTTCTCTAGTAGAGATGCCACGTTGGCAGAGGATCAATACGCTATGTATGGTGTGAAAGGACTTGGAAGGATTCCGCCTGCCACGAACCAGATGTATGATCCAACACGGTAGGTTTGATTATTTATCAATTGCACTAAATTTTACATAAGCTTCAGAAACTACAATTAGAGATGCATAGATTAGTTCCGGATTTGAACCAGCTGATATGTTGTTCTCGGTGATTGTTATATTTCCGTTTTCTATATGGCGTCTTTTCCTACCCAATGGTCTTCTTTTCTTCACTGCTGATGACAACGTAGCACTTGATGTGACTGTTGGGTGAAAGTAAGTTGTTCCTTGCAAAAATAAAATGATCATTAGTCTTTTGAGAGTGTTACAAAGGAAAGGTATATCATGAAAACAATTTACCTTTACTTTTGATCGCCTGAACAATCATGCATAACAAATAACTAGCGAATGCCAGAAATGCAAGTGCTGTTACACTTATTTGAAAAATTGACTGAATTTTGCTTGGTTTTGTGTCCCATGCTTCTACTGCACCTCGCCTGAAATGAAACAAATTAATAAACATGGAATAAATACACTTTAAAATTTATAGTTCTATCGCTTTACACTGACGATATTTATGCACAGACTAGTGCACGATTTGGTTGGTAGCATAACATTAAATATGAAAAATTGGCATCCTCTAAACCAGCGCTACCCAACGTACGGCCCGCGGGCCGGACGCGTTCTCTAGATCTCAACAATGATGTCATTCTAGCCTAATAGCATTCATTATTATGAATTTTAGCCCAGAATAAATGAGAAATAGATAGAATGCAGCTTTAAACATATCCATCGAACATTTTAAAAAAGCATGTTTGGAAAGGTTGGGTACGCCTGCTCTAAACCTTCACCATTTAAAGAAGTGACATTTGCTCATTTTAATACACAACGTTTGTTTTTCTGTCAGTCTTTTGAATTTTGACTTCAAGATTCTGAAATTAAATTTCAGTAGTAGTCTCAAAATATGGCAAGAAGTTCTTTCTTTCAAATTTCAAATATATTAGGATTTCAAATTTTTGGAAATAATTTCATACACCGTGAAGAGATCTTCAGTCATTTAGTGTATTTAAATCCCTTTAAACACATTACATTGTATCTTTTACCTTATATTCACATGCAATTGCTATTGAGATTGAGAGTTTCATTTTAAATATATGATAGAAGCTATCCAAAAAGATTGTGTAGAGTTTAATAACAAAAAATAGCGCTTTTAAAGAAGCGGTTAAAAAATTGATATTTGCTTCCATTTACAGATAATTAACCGCTTTTTATTCTATTTTTAAGACTTCAATTTGCTAGAAAAGGCTGCAATAAGATTTTGTCGATCTTGAAATGTAATGGCAGTTCTCACAATGCACTGTAGTTTAAAAGCAAGATTTTTCATAATGAATATTTTCGTACAAAACCTTCACGAGATGTTTTCCTAGCCACAGTGCGTTTGAGGAATTATTTTGTATTTCGAATTTTCCCAACATAAATATTTATACAAATATTCATAATACTTTCTGACGAGTACATTACATAATCTGTTCATAAGGCGATATTTGGTTTAACTTAATTTTTGAGATATTCATCCGCAGGCTGGTTCATCACTTTTCATGCGGTGAAACATTACAACTTTTTATACAAATCTGTAATAGAATCTTACATTTCTCGGTTGGGTGTTCATTTTTAACATAGAACATCTTATTTGAATAACATTTATCATGGTTGATAATTATTATTACATATTGAACGGCCTTTAGTCTCAGATCCATTTATCTGCTAAATAACTCGATAATCTCTCTACTCTCTCTGCATTGGAACATCTGCTTCTGTTGCCTAACACCTGCCCAAGCATTGAAGTCTCCTCCGATGACTACCGGTCTTCGTCCGATCAGCTCTTGGGTAACTGACTTGGCCAAAACCCATCATCGAACACCTCAAATCATATGATATCTCAAAAATAAGTTCAATGTTAGCCATATAGAGTACCCAAGACCATTTTAGCCACATTCGGACATATTCCGGACACTCCCGTGGAAGTGGCCAGTTTCTGACTTGGGAAAAACCCATCATACAACACATTACATCACATGAGAACTAAATAATAAGATCATTGCCGATCATATTGAGTTCTCAGTCCTACAATAATCACCTCCGGACATGTTACCTGACTAAGCATAATCTTTCAAATGACGCATCAAATCACATGAGAATGTACAATACACTTTTCTGACTTTTGTGCCAGTGTCCACATTGGGTACATTGGGTTAAACCTTATCTTGCGACGCATCATACTATTTGAAAGCTAAATAAGCAAGAATACATCAGCAACAATACAGTGACCACCGGGTACCACCGGGAAAGTGGCCAGAATCAGGAGTAAACTTGAGTCATAATTCGAATACAAGATCATTTGTGCTGAGCTTGTGGATACTGCCTGTCCACAATCTGCTAGTAGTCAAAATGTATTGCATTAAAATGAAAACACAGGCCCACATATCATTGAAAAATTGTCTTACTTCTCTTTACTATATGCAATCTTGAGAAATTTTGTCGGAATTTAAATAAGTAAGAATGGTCAAATCTCACCATTCAGGATGTTTCTCTTCTGGTTACAAAGACAGTATTTATACTTATTCGAAAAATTTAATATATTCCCCTTTCAAGTGAGGAAATTAAGCGAGGAGGGAATTTCCCTTTTCACGTCCATCTATACACAACACAAACCAGTGTACATGTCGAGGCCCAACTCCGCAGGGGATTTCCTCCAGATGACACGCTTCACTTTGCAGTATATTCCCAAAACCAACGTTATATCATTATCTGGTACCTCCGGTGGTAAATCGTTTACTTGTACGTATTAAACGTTGCCCCAGCAAGCAACATCCGTACGTCTGCTGCCTTTCCAAAACGATAATGGAAATTTAATTGCTCCGGGTTATGTATCAGGGCATTATGCATACTTGCTTCAGATTTGAATTTGATGGAGATCGCCTTTTCCTCTGCAATCCAGTATGTGGCGTCCATGTCAACAGGATTCACGTCCAGTGATTTCACGAAAGTGGCAAGATTGGTGGACTTCGCACTTCCATTTGGATAAGCAAATCACAGAGCGTACTTTATTTCGACCATATTGAATTGTTTGCCTCCAACGATGACAAAGGCACTGACTGATCTGCAGGCAATTAACCATGTGCACCAAAAGAAGCAATCGACTGAAAAACAACTGCTGCTGCTTCGACAACTGAAAGTAAACTGAGTAAATGGCTCTTAATTTTTTTTTTTGTTTTTTTTTTGTTATAGTTACTTTAAAGCTCTTGCGTCATTCGTGACTTGTCTGGGGGTGAGAATTGAACTCGTGACGTTGGCGTGCGAGGCATGGATAATACGTCGGGGTCGCCCCAAATTGCCTTTAAAATCACATGAAATCCATTGATTTTATTATATTGGAAACATGGTTGGTTGGTTGGTTGTCTTTATTAAGGAGATTTTCAGCCAGACGCTGGTTCATCTCCGGAATTGGGAACATTTTACCGTAATTTATTATGTAACTCTGATTCATTGACACATAGTTTTGCAAAAATAAATGCCACGTTCAAGTTTATGACATCAGTCGATGTAGCCCTATGATCGTTTGTTTGAATAATGATATTGTATGTTAAATAGCAATAGCTAAATAAAATTGATACTTATGCAGTAAAGTATACTTGAGAAACTTATCAAGGCAATCATTAGAGTCTTATGATGAAATGCTATCAAGATTTCTCTTGATATCTATCACCAAAAAGGATTTACGTGACATTTAATTAATTTCGTCCTGGTGATCGGTTGCCTTCGGATTACGGTATCACATAATTATGTTGCTGCTCCAAGGTATTCAAGATCATCATAAATGAAGCAATGTTTAGCTCTTACAAAAATTACATTTGCACATATTTCCAAAACGGTTAGTAACGACGAATTTAACTGAATTTGTTTAACTCTGTATTCTGGTGGGCAAGTCGGTACCGTTCAAACTATCCTTAAATAAGTTAAGTTTGCAACTACTATGCGCAACTCGGCATGTTTAGAATTCTGGAAGTCACTACAACTTGTTTAGAAGTGCTGGAAGTCACTACAACTTTTTTCACATTAGGAGCTACAAATGATGCACATCGGTTGTAATTTTTAGACCTGTGTTATGTGAAGTTGATTGGAGCTTCTACAAAAACATTACCGTTTGACCACGACAAAAAAAAAATTTTATGACCAACGCATTTAACGAAATTGACGCTTACCTATTTCTACCCATCTGCTTGAGCGTGCGTACAAGTTTTATGCCTTGCACGGTGCAAAGAGGAGGTGTGTACAGCAAAACAGTTTGACTGCCACACCATTTTCGCTTGATTACAAGTGCAGGAGGTCTTGTTATGAATATCTAATGCGTTGCTCCACAATTTGTGCTTCCGCGTGTAAATAGCAAACTTTATTATGATTATATATTTCAACCACCCGCTGAAGGAATGTAAGATACAAATTAGAAAATGATTTAGTATGCGTAATCCGTGCCAGCTTTAAGAATATAATTATACGTAGCCATGTAATCATTTTCGGAAGAAAATCCGTATCAGAACTGTAAATAGGATCGTTTCCCGTTGGAAAATCTATTTGTATGCTTCGCACAAGAATTTAAGCATCTGATTCGGATTCAGGGAACCCAAATTTAATATTAACAATTACTAGAATTGTTCTCGAATGTCATTTGGGGTTTGATCAATTTCACCCCATATCGATGTTTTCACATTAAAGTTTTCAAAAATATCCTAAAAATAAACAAAATACTCATCATGATAAGTAATCATGCGCAACGACAGAGACCTAATAGCTTCTGATTTTAATTTCGTTTAAATTTGACGAACCTAATATTTGGATATCTATCTACATTCTATACATATGTTTTGTGTTATCTTTAGCTATTAAATAGGTATTTAAGCTTCCTGAAACCCTCTTTTGAACCTCACATAAACCTACGTCGAAATTTAGTTTTTCATTTAATGAAAAAGATTCACCTGGTAACAAAAAGTGTAATTTTGTGCATCTTTTTCAAATTCTTAGAGACGTATATGCTTGTTTACTTTGATGGATCTGTGGATTTATTTTGCTTAATACATTTATTATTGTTAGAAATAAATTTCTAAAAAATATACAATTAATCAAGCAATATAAATCTATAGCTGAAGCTCAAAATAAATTATGCACGTTAGGGTGGGTAAAGATTACAACCTCTTACACCTCTTTCGATCTGTATTGATATTCCCGACAGCTGTGCCAAATTAGAACAAATTTGGATTTTATTTGCATTTGAATTTCAAAGTTTATATGGAAAAATATATGTGAAACGGAAAGAATCTATTCATTCACTTTTCAAAAATCACATTTTCCCACACAAAATTTAAAGTTTTCTCGCAAATCCAAATCGTAACCAAACTCTTTCAAACACTATTCAAACTTGAGACACCCTGATGAACATGTT